TGGCCCCCTTGGCAAGGAGGAAGGGGCTGTAAGTGGTTCTCCGAGACTGTGTGTGTGTGTGTGTGTGTGTCTCCCTGTCCTGGTGCGGTGGGCTCACCCCTGTCCCCACCAGCCCCAGGCTCACCTGCCAGGGGCTCTCCCGATGTGGCGTGGCTGGAAGGAACACCAGTACAGGGGCAGCAAGTGCAGCGTGGCAGTACCGGCCTGGGGCGTGTGAAGGTGCTCTGGGGACCCTCTGCGGTTGCCCACCCTTAGTTGTGGTTCCTGAGCCCTTTGCGGGCTGAGTGACAGCTGCTGGGACTCTTCAGCCTGCCCTGGTGGCGTAAGACAAGGGCACGGAGGATCTCCCTGCAGCTGCCACCCTCCCTTCCAGGACCCCGTCAGCTGCTCGGTGCCCGTGACCTGGAGCAGCCTGCAGCTGTCACTGTGCTCAGGAGTGGGCCTTGACTAAAGCTGGACTTTTAAGGCAAATGAGGAGATCTAGTTCCTGGATAGCCGAGTCTAGAAGTGTGTAGTTGGAGAACTGCCACTGGTGTAGGGGCTGGCCGTGCCCAGGGCTCTGAGGCAGGGCCGGGTCACAAAACAGATCGGCGCTTCTGAGCCCCACAAGGTGCCTGTTGCAGTCCCCCCACCCCACTCCCGCTTCCTTGGATAATTTGATTGGTCAGGCACCGTGGCCTCCTTCTCGTGTGTACACAGTCCTGCAGGGCCTGAGATGGCAAAGGCCAAGTCTGAGACACGCTGGGGAGGGATGAGTGCGCTATGTGGCAATGATGTACAAAGTGCCTGGAAGAGTGGCACGTATTAGGTGCTGTGTGTAAGTGCCACCAGCTATTGTCACTGTCATCATCCTCACTGGGGGAATGGGAGGAAGGAGGGGACAGCGGCCGGCTCCGCATTGCCCTGGCGTGCCAGTGAGAACGCGTGGCCAGAGGTCCAGGAAGAGGCACTGTGAGGCCTCCCCTGGACTCAGCTCTGCTCAGGGGATGGGGCGACCTCTCCCAGATCCAAACAGGCGTGAGCAGTCTCCCTCCATGGAGCCTGGTGCCTAGGCATGCTGGCTGTGCCCTAGCTACGCCCCTCAGTGAGTGGCAGGTCACTGCTGCCTGGCTAGCGAGGAGCCCCAGGGTGACCTAGTGCCCCTCAGGCTACATGGCTGGAAACCTGCCCTGCCATTCGCCAGCCTGGCCTCCCCCGTGGCCATCCCTGGGGACCGTCCCTGGCAGCGTGTCGGGGAAGGAAGGGCAGCAGGTGGAGTGGCTCCAAGCTCCTGCGTGCCCACACACCGAGAGGCTGGCTGAGCCTGGAGCCCCACTCTAGGGCAGAGGGGAGCCATGGGCTGCAGCTGCCTCTTCTGCTGCCCGTCGTTCCATCTGTAGGGCCCTAAATGCTCGAGAGGTTTGCAGGGGGAGCACTGCAAAGAGCCTGGCTGAGACAGGAGGCTGCGGTGGGCGCTTCCTGGCCCATCAGCCCGGGTCTCTGCTGCTTGTGAGAGTGTAGGTGAGGGGAGGACACAGAGGCAGAGCCCAGGAGCTAGGGGGAAGCTGGGGGTGTCTCGGGGCCAGGAGGCGCTACCTGACCGCTGCTTTCTTCTGATGGGCAGGCTCCAGATCTGACTGTCGGAGCGAACGATGGGGAGAGCAGGGCGCGTGCAGGCAGGAAGCCCCGGAGCCATGGGAATGGGCTGTCTGCCCTCTCCCCATGACCTGGGCTGTGTTTGGGCTTCAAGAGAGTGGGCTTGCCGAGAAGGGAGCTTGCTTGCCACGCTGACATCACGCCAGTGATCTGGGTTGCCTCACGGGCCCTGGACACTCTGTGCTGGCATCGCACAGTCCCGTGCTGAGCCTGGGGATAGACAGCAGGTGGCGACTACCTGGTTGTGCACCTTCAGCTAGAAGGCGCAAAGCAGCCTCTGGGGTAAACTCTTAGCTCTGTGTGTTGTCTGGTGGGTGATGAAAGAGGCCCTGCCCTGCGACTTCCTCCACGCGTGGGGCGGGCAGGGCTGTGGGCTCAGATGCTAATGTCTCCCTGTATCTGTGTGACCTTAGCCAGAGGGCAGCTCCAAGGACGGCACAGGCGCAGCTAAGAGTCCTCAGCCCCCGACCAGCCCGGGGCCCTCCGAGACTCCCCAGAGAACTAAGAGCCCCACAGCGGCCCTTGCCATGAACGGGCCGGGGGCTGCCTCAGCAGAGGGCCCAGGTGAGGAGGCGCAGGGCCTGTCCCGGAAGCGGGTAGCGAATGCAGTGAGGAAGGTGGTGAGCAAGGTGCTGCCCGGCGAGGAGCCTGGGAGTGCCAAGGAGCCTCCGGGCAGAGGGGTCAAGTCCCCTGAGCACCCAGCTCGAGGCAAGAAGGGAGAGAAGACAGCCCCTGGCCCCAAGTCGCCGCCGCCGCCACCGCCTCCCCCTCCCCCTCCCCCGGCCCCGTCCAAGTCTGAAGCAAAGAAGGAGACTGCCAAGGATGAGCTCTCCGTGGGCCTGCGGAGCCTGATGTCTCGGGGCAAAGGCAAGGACCACAAACCCCGCAGCAAGCAGTCTCCTGGGAAGGGGGAGAATCCTCCCAGCCAGGAGCCGGGCTCCCCGGTGCCGCCGGCAGACTCAGCCCCGAAGTTGAACCTCCCCGGAGAGGCGCAGTCCAAGTCACCGGCCCCTGGCATCCAGCAGGAGGTACTCGAGTGTGCCACTAACCTCCCGTGTGACCCCCCCCCACACCTCGCTTGAGGGCCAGGCACCTCCCTCCAAGCCTCTGCCGCAAATCCCGCATGACGGAGAGGTTGGCTCACGCCGTGTGGCATCGGCTGGGGCTGCATGGCTTCCCTTACCTGAGTGCCAGCTCCCGGGGTGCCATGGGAACTGCTAACCAGCACGCTGCTGGCCTGTGACACTTGCCATGGGATTCAGGGCCTGGTCCCCAGCCACACGGTGGCAGCACAAGGCCCCAGAGCCCAAGCTGAGGATCTGAGTCTTAGCAGATCAGTGCTGGGGTAGAAAGCCAATGGTGTTGGCTCCTGCTGCATGGCCTGGGCCCACGTCCCCAGCTACTCGCCCCTGTGGGACCTCAGCAGGGTCTTCTCTGAAGCCCTTGGGGCTAGAAGTACTTTGGAAGTTAGTGACTGATGTAATATAGAGTGTCATAGCGTGCGCAGCGAGCAGCAACCTGTAACAAACACATTCGTGTCTCTAAAGCAAAACCTATGCAAATGCACACTGCGTGGGAACAGAGGAAAAACAGCTTTTGCCTCCAAAATAGTTAAGAGAAAATGCTTTGTTTGGGGGCCGCTGTGAGGATTTTGGAGTTGTAACTGAGGGCAGTACTTGTTTTGAAGGGTTGCTGCAAAGATTAGAAACCACATGCCTGGTGCTGCAAGCCCAGCCCCTGGCGGCCCCTCCTGAGCCCCAGAGTTCCTGGGGTCCTCCTGGTGCCCCATCTTCAACACTGCAGCTTCCCCCAGCCCTCCTGGCTCACAGTGGGCACCCGGGAAGAGGCAGGGCAGGAGCCAGCGGTCAGCCCCTAGGAGAACCTGCAGGTAGCCAGGGAGTGTTGCGTGTCTGTCCCTGGACCGGCTGCCAGCCCCCTCTGGCTCCCCTGTCCCTCCTCCTTGCACTGGAGTTGGGGACAGAGACATGTCATGAGCTGGAACCCAGCCACTGTCGCCTGGGCCTGGGGCAGGAGTGAGAAGGGTGAGGGGGAAAACCAGGCCGTTTGGCACTCAAGGTGGTTAGGACAGACTCCCAGGCCCCGTTCCTCGTTCCTCACCACCTGGCTTGCTCCCCGCTCTGGCACTGGGTCTCAGTGACCTCCTGGGCTGCGATCCCAGCACGCTGAGCCCCCTGCTCCCTGCGCCGGGACTCATGGTGGTTTGACCTTTAGGCGGAAGCTGCCCCAGAGGCCCTGCTGACCCCCGCCGAGGAGGCCCACCGGCGGCTTGAGAGGATCTTCACAGCTTCTGTAATGCACCTGTCGTGTGTGTGTTCTCAGTCCCCGGCCCTCCTCTCTGGAGGCTGGTGGCTGGGCTGTGTGTGCGTGTGTGCAGGAAAGCCTGACTGTGGGGGGAGGCTCATGGCGATCCCTGGGCCCCTCACTTGGCCTGTGTCTGTGGAGGGTCTCCTTCCAGAGAGCCCCCAGCCCTGCACACAGGGGAAACAGAGCCCTCTTGCTTGGGGATCCAGGCTCCTTCTCTGGCCCTGCTCTCATACCTCAAGGGCAAGTCTTGGTGCCAGGGCCTGGTGGGCTGCGAGGCAGGGAGCTGATGCACCCCGTGTTTGTTGCCCAGGCCCTCAGGGCTCATGTGGGACCTATTACAAGCTTCAAGGCCTGGCTGGATCCCCCTCTGCCTCCCAAAGGCCTTGGAGGGCGCAGGTGGCGACCAGGAGGCCAGGGCTGGCCATCGGGCTGCTTGCGGTCCCTCGGCTCTTGGGCAGTTGGCAGCCGGCTCCACATGATACCTCCGCTGGCTGTGGGGTCAGAGTGCCTCCTGGGGGTGGTGCAGGGTGCAGTGGGGCTTTGAGGGAGGGGTCCTGGACTTGGGCTGCTGGTGGCCTTTGGCTGTGAGTGGTGCCGGGGTGGAGTGGCACCCTTGGGCAGGTGTTTGGTGGCCAGGGACAGCTCTGTGCCGATGTTTGGTGACTGTGGGAGAGCTATGCTGAGAAGTGCCCTGGAGCTAAAGCAGGAGGCTCCCAAGGGGCCTGATGGGTAGAGGGAAAACGAGCCTGGTTCAGAATGGACAGCATGGCCAGCCCGGAAGAGCCGGGCTAGAGGCAGAGGAGCAGACTCCAGCCCTGGCCGGAGTGAATGGCATGCAGGAGCCTCTCCTGAGAGGCTGGGTGCTCACAAGAGCCTCTTCACCTCCCTGCTCTGGCCTCTCCTCTCCTCTCCTCTCGGCCAGCTCTCAGTCCTGGCACTGAACACCCCCGGCGCTGGCTGAAGGGGACAACCAGCGGTGTGCTTGTCTTCACCCCTCTTCTCTCTCTCTTTCTCTCTCTCTCTCTTTTTGCTGCTGGTAGCTGGACCCTGAGGCTGCCTCTCCCGCCCACAGCCAGGTAGGGTGCTCCCGGCCCACTCCAGAGCCCTCTGCTTCTTCCGGTGACCGCCCACCGGCCCTGGCCTGTGCCTGGGCTGGCATCTGCGCCCGGGCCTCATGCTGGAGTGTAAGGCCTCCTTCCTCTGCAGGCTCCCTCCTTGTGTCTGGCGCCCACCCCCACCCCCCCACCCCGCCCTGGAAGGCCTTCTGGAGCGTCCCTGTTCAAGTGGGCCTCTGTGTACCTGGTTCTCAGCCGCTGGAGCCCCAGGTTGAGGCCAAGTCCCTGCCTCATCCCCAGCCCAGGCCTGAGGATGAGATAGTCTCTGTCTCCACCTCCTGGCCAGTGTGAGAATCCCACGTTTGGATTCCCTCTCGTGGAGTTAGTTACCGGGCTGTGGTTCTGTGATGTCACCTTGTTTGTGAGCCCCAAACACATGGCCACAAGAGCATCCCCAGTCACACACTCTGAAAGAGCACTGTACTGGTTTTTCAAATGAAGCTGCATTTCTTTGAATGCAGCATGTTCTTATTTAACAAACCAAAATGTTGGCAGCTGCCCAGGGACCACATTGCTGAAGGCTGCTTTCCTGGGGCCCGTGATAGGCAGAGGGCTGGGAGGCGCTGGTGTAGCGGAGCCCTCATCCAGGGGTGGGCGGGGCAGGCCCAGCCCGAGAGGGATTTATCTGTGGCCAGGAGGTCGGAATCCAGCTTGGGAGTGCAACCTTGGTCTGTTTCTTTCGACTCCAAGAAATGGGACCCAGAGCACACTTGTTGTGTTGTCTCCCCTTCTCCCCTCGCCTCGCCCAGGGTCAGCATCAGAAAGCAGCATCTGGGCCCTGGCCTTGACCTTCACTGAGGAAGGGACGCCTGTGGGGAGGGACTCTCAGGGACCCTCGGAGAGCATGGGGCAGCACTGGTCTCGGGGTGGGGCACTGGTTACCTTCTGCTGCTTTGTCCACACACAACAAGGGGAGCTGATGGGCTGTGGGAAGCGGGCCCTCTCTTGTCCTGCCTCTGCTGGCACCGGCTCTCCCCAGCTCGAGTGTCCTGCTTATAGGGGTGCTGGGTTTGATAGCCCTACAACCTGGCAGTGCCTGTACCCACCCCGCCGTGCCCATCTGTGTGGCATCAAGTCCTTGCCTGTGTTTGACAGCTGCCTCGCCCGTGTCTCTGGCCATGCTGCCTCCTGCCCTTGTGTAGCTCTGTGTGATGGCCGCCTCCTGACCCGGGCCCTCTGCTGACCGTGACATGGAGGAGGATCCAGGAGGCTGTCGTCTGCTCCTGGGCAGGCCAGGGCACTCAGGGCCTGCCTCTCATCCCACAGCCCCAGGGAGTCAGCTGTCCCTTGGGTCTTGGTGAACAGGCCCTGTCGTTTGCAGGAAGGGAGAAGCTGGGCCTGGCAAGTCCCAGTTGCTGTGGCCTGGGCTCAGGCAGGAGAGAGAGGTGGCTCGAGGCAGAGCCTGGATGTTCGCTTTCCTGGGGCCTACCCTCTCCCTGGCACCTGCTCCCTGGGGGCCCTGTTTTCCCGTCTGCAGGGCTCCTCGGAAGCCACCATCGCCTCCTGGCTCCCCCAGCCTCTTCCCCTGACATCTCGGATGTCCCCGCGTTCCGTGTGTGCCACCTCCCTGTCAGCCTCTCCCAGTGGCTCCTCCTGCAGCCCTTCCCCTCTCTCCTGCTCTTCCAGAGCAGGGTCTCACTCTGTGCCCCCCTCTCTGGCAGGCGAAGACTGAAGAGCAGATCGCAGCCGAGGAGGCCTGGTGTGAGACGGAGAAAGTGTGGCTGGCCCATAAGGACGGCTTCTCGCTGGGTGAGTCTCGGGGCCGGGCCACTGCTCCCTGGGACTCTGGCCTCGGGGCCGGGTCGGGGCTGGGGGTGAGCAGGGAGAGGCTGACAGTGTGGCTGCTGGGAGGAGGTGGGACCACGAAGCTCCCCAGGTCTGTACCCAGCTGAGGTCCCTGCCCTGCAGCCACTCAGCTCAGATCAGAGGAGCTCAGCCTGCCGGAGGGGAAGGTGCGTGTGAAGCTGGACCACGATGGCACTGTATTGGACGTGGACGAGGATGACGTAGAGAAGGTTCGCAGCAGGCCGCCGGAGGTGGGCCGGGCTGGGCACCCCTGCCCCTGCGTCTCCATTACCCACCTGCTGGTCCTGTCACACAGGCAAATGCTCCCTCCTGCGACCGGCTGGAAGATCTGGCCTCGCTGGTGTACCTCAATGAGTCCAGCGTGCTGCACACTCTGCGCCAGCGCTATGGCGCCAGCCTGCTGCACACTTACGCCGGCCCCAGCCTGCTCGTCCTCAGCCCCCGTGGGGCCCCCACCGTGTACTCCGAGAAGGTGCTGATCCCAGGGCCCCACCCTGCCTGGCACCTGCCCTGCCCTTTTGACTTCTGCTGGGCTCCTGGCCACTTGCCCCTTTGACCTTGGGAAGAGGGGTCACTTCCAGAGATAGGGGGCGGAAGGACCTCCTCACTCGTAATGGAGTCCAGGAGTGGACAGGTGTCTGCGTTTCCAGGACGGCCCCAGCCTCAGAGTCCCTGAGCGGCCCTGGGGTAACACTGCAGACAGGTGTGGACCCGGGGCTGAGTTAAGAGCCTCCCTCTCTTGCCCAAGGTGATGCATATGTTCAAGGGGTGTCGGCGGGAGGACATGGCACCCCACATCTACGCCGTGGCCCAGGCGGCGTACAGGGCGATGCTGATGAGCCGTCAGGACCAGTCCATCATCCTGCTGGGCAGCAGCGGCAGTGGCAAGACCACCAGCTGCCAGCACCTGGTGCAATACCTGGCCACCATCGCGGGCAGCGGGAGCAAGGTGTTTTCTGGTGAGGCAGGGACACCCAGGATGAGGAGGAGGGGGCGGGCTGGGGGCCCCTCCGAGACACGGGCTCTGTCTCTCCCCGGCCTCTCCGTCTGCTGGACACGTCTGGCTCCTGGCCTCCCTGACCCGCGGCCCGTGTCCTGCAGTGGAGAAGTGGCAGGCTCTGTACACCCTCCTGGAAGCCTTCGGGAACTGCCCCACCAGCATGAACAGCAATGCCACGCGCTTCTCCCAGATCCTGTCCCTGGACTTTGACCAGGCTGGCCAAGTGGCCTCGGCCTCCATCCAGGTGAGGGGCACACCCAGGCCTCGGGGTAGCAGGGGAGGGGCCGTCCTAGGGAGCAGGCTCTTCCCTGGGCTTTTGCCCCAGCACAAGGTGTCTGGGCACTGCCCATTGCCCCCGCTGCTCCGCTCTCCATGGCTCCTGCATGGGGCCCGGCTCAGCTTCTTGCCCTACTTCTCCCCCACCCCAACCCTGCCCACTGCTGGGGTGCTGGCAGCACCCACTTTCTCAGACTCACGCTCACTGCCTTCCTTCTCTCGGGCTGCTCCTGCCCCGCAGCAGCCAGCCTGGCCGTGAGGTGAGGCCCAGCCAAGGCCACCTCCTGCCCAAGCTGGAGCGCTCGGCACAGGCTCCCAGCTCCCGGCTCCTAGGAAGGCTGTCCTTGGGGATCTGGGCAGGCGCTAGGAACCCCTCTGTGAGCTGGGCTGTCATTTCCCACCTGGCTCTGGTTTCTACCCTGTCTGGTCTGGGGAGGCCTGGCCTTTGGGCGAGACAGGCTGCTGGCCACCAGGGCCTGGCTCCCAGCGACCGGCACCGCCCACCTCACTCCTCCATCCATGCCACAGACGATGCTTCTGGAGAAGCTGCGCGTGGCCCGACGCCCCTCCAGTGAGGCCACGTTCAATGTCTTCTACTACCTGCTGGCCTGTGGGGACAGCACCCTCAGGTGAGATGGGGCAGAGGGGACACGGAAGGTTCTCTAGCCTCTAGTCTGTGAACTGGGACCTCTTGTTGGCTGTGTGTCTGAGCCAGGCCCAAGCCCTGGTGATGAGAGAGACATGGCCCAGGAGGAATGAGACGTGGCCCAGGAACTTCCTGGCTCCGGGTACCAGGGCCTGGCTGTGCGGGAGGAGCATCCTTCTGTGTTCCTGGGGCTGGGGTCTGGCGGGGCGGGGTGGGGTGCTCCCCCACTTGCCTGTAGCCCCACAGCTTGCATGGGGCTGAGCTGGTCTCCGAGTCCACACTGGCCCTCCCTGCCTGCAGTGGGCTGCCCCCCACTCTGTCCCCCTGCTGTGCTCGCCCCAGGCCGCCACCCCTCCCACCCACCTGTAGCAGAGCTTAGCCCGGCCCCTGTCCTGGCTTCCCTCCCCCTCAGGCAGGTTCCCTGCGCCCCATGTGGGGCTCTGGCTAGAGGGAGGCCCGCGCTCTGACCAGGCACCCAGGCCAACTAGCAAGGGTGGCAGCAGCTGGCCTGGCGGTCAGGGATGACAGGTGGACACAGCTCGGGGTCTGGAAGCAGAGTTTACCCGTTTGTGCCCTGGGAAGGATCCGGTCTTGGCCTAAGGCCCAAGCGCCGTGCTGATGCCTCGGTTGTACCCCTAGGACAGAGCTCCACCTGAACCACTTGGCTGAGAACAACGTGTTTGGGATTGTGCCGCTGGCCAAGGTGAGGGGCCTGGGGAGCCTGGGGAGGCAGCCTGTGGTGCCCTGGGGGTGGCTGCACTTGAGCCCGGCCCTCCCCGGGAGGAACTGCCCCTCCGAGGTGCAGAGCCGCGTCCCCCACTGTCCCCGCAGCCCGAGGAGAAGCAGAAGGCAGCTCAGCAGTTCAGCAAGCTGCAGACGGCCATGAAGGTGTTGGGCATCTCCGCCGATGAGCAGAAGGCCTGCTGGCTCATCCTGGCTGCCGTCTACCACCTGGGGGCCGCAGGCGCCACCAAAGGTTAGCCCAGCGAGTGTCCCGCGCTGGCCCATCCCCCGGCCACCCAGCACAGCCTCGGCTGGGACAATTGGCCCTCCGCCGCCTGTGCCCCCTCTTGGCCTCCCTGGTCAGAGCACAAGGCTGCCAATGACCATGACAGCCCCAGGCCTGGCCTGAGCTGGCAGCGACTGGGCACACTGGGAGGGGCGGGGAGGGTGAGGCCGCGGGGGCTGGGAGGAGACATGGGCACTGTCTTGGGCCCTCCCCTGCAATAACTCGACTTCTTGTTCCCTTCCTGACAGAAGCCCCTGAGGAGCCAGCGGGTAACCGACCGTGGCCCGCCCTGGGGTGTCGGGGCTGCCTGGCCCTGTCTTGGTGCTTGCCCTGGGCTCTCTCTGGGGGTGCTGGGCTTCTTCTCTTCCGGCCGCTGGGACTGATCTGGGGAGAAGCCCAGGGCTGAGCGTGGAAGGGGAGCCTCTTAGCTGGGGGGCTTCTCTAAGGCCCAGGAGTAGCTGCTGCTTCTCCTGCCTGTTTTGCACTGGGGTCCTGGAGCCTGTTGGGGTGCCCTCCCTGGGGCTTAGGTGGGATGGAGGTGCTTGCCCCTGGGGCTCCCTGAGGCCTGTCTTCCTGTGGCATCTTCCACTGGTATCAGCTTCTCTTCCTCTCGCACATCAGGGTGGCAGCCACTAGAGGGCAGCAGGCACCGCATAATGAATGGGCTGCCGCTGGGGCACTGGTGCTGGGGCTTGGGAATGACTGGGTGTGGTGGGGCCTGGAAGAGCCCCGTGGTTCCCCACCCAGCTTGCCCTCCATGGTGGCGTTTTGAGCACATCTTCTTGGCTTGGCTTTCTCGGGGCTGCAAAGGGGCTGGGCTGCAGAGCAGGAAGCCTGTGGTGGTGCGTAGAGGGTTGGCCTTGTGATGCCAGCAGGTGGCATCCCTGGCAAGCAGTTGTGGTAGAAGTGTCCCCAGGCTGCAGGGGAGGTGGGCAGGCGGTGTCTTGTGACAGCCTGGGTTTCCCCTGCTGGGCTCTGAGCACAGGTGGACGGCTCTGGGGCGTGTTGCCGAGCACTGTCACATCCTGAGCTCCCAGTTTTTCCCAGGGCTGTGTGTGTGTGTGCTGCAGTCCTTGTGAGTCTCTGCCTGTGTCACTGTCATAACACCCAACCATCTGAAACTGTGCATGTGTCTGTGCGTATCTCTGTGAGTGGGTGTGTCTATGAGTGGGTGTGTCTGTGAGTGGGTCTCTGTGGATGGTTTTCTGTGTGTGCGTGTGTGTGTCTGGGTCTCTCTGTGTGTGTCTCTGTGAGGGGGTGCATATGTGTGTGAGTGGATATGTCTGTGAATGGGTCTCTAGTGGTTTGTGTGTCTGTGTGTGTCTCTGTGAGTATGTGTGTCTCTCTCTGCTTGGGATTGTGCCCCTGGCCAAGGTGAGGGGCCTGGGGAGTCTGGGGAGGTGGCCTCCCAAGGCTGAATGTCTCCCAAGTCTGAATGTCTCTGTAATGGTTTGTGTGTCTGTGTGTGTCTCTGTGAGTGTGTGTCTCTCTCTGCCTGTTCCCAAGTCTGAATGTCTCTGTAATGGTTTGTGTGTCTGTGTATTTCTCTGTGAGTGTGTATGTCTCTCTCTGCGTGTTGCCAAGTCTGACTGTGGCCTCGTTTTCCTGCCTGCTAATCCTCACGAGCCCCAGCCCCCTCTGGCCCTTCCCTGGGCCCGTGGCCTGTGATGACTGTTTGCTAACACACTGTTTTTCTTTGCATGCTGCATGCTGGTCCTTTGCCTTACAGAAGCCGCTGAAGGTAAACCCTTGTTTCTTGTTAGCTTTCCCTAATTGCTGTGATTAGACACATGTTGGCTGCGCCACTTAGATCTGTGTGGGCTGCTCCCTGTCCCCTGCGGCTTTTTTGCCTTCCTACTGTTGGGCCATTGAGGGTGTTTGTCTTCTCCCCTAGAGTAAGAGGAGAGTAAGAGGGAGGGTCCTAATGCATCCCAGGAAGGGGGAGGTAGGCGTGGGCCCCTCTTGGTGACACCCCTCCCGCCAGTAGCCGTATCCTGGGTGGGCTGGCTCAGCCTCTGACTTTGTCCTCCAAGTTGGGCGTCCAGGAGAAGGGATTTTTGCAGCCGAGTGCCCTCTGGTGGCAGTACATGGAACTACATCTTTCCTCTCCACCTGGCCCAGGGACGCAGGAAGATGCCTGCTCCCCAGTCCCTATGGGGCGAGGGAGCCAAAGCACATGGTGGTCATCAGGGGTCCTAAGGAGAAAGACTCAAGATGCCAGATCCCTGGGGCCGGTGCCATGGCTCACTTGGTTAATCCTCTGCCCGCGGCGTCGGCATTCCATATGGGCACTGGGTTCTAGTCCCGGTTGCTCCTCTTCCAGTCCAGCTCTCTGCTGTGGCCCGGGAGGGCAGTGGAGGATGGCCCGGGTGCTTGGGCACCTGGACCTGCATGGGAGACCAGGAAGAAGCACCTGGCTCCTGGCTTCAGATTGGCGTAGCTCTGGCCATATTGGCCATTTGGGGAGTGAAAAGGAAGACCCTTCTCTTTGTCTCTCTCTCACTGTCTTTTCTCCACCCATAGCTGGACGCAAGCAGTTTGCCCGGCACGAGTGGGCCCAGAAGGCCGCGTACCTGCTGGGCTGCGGCCTGGAGGAGCTGTCCTCGGCCATCTTCAAGCACCAGCACAAGGGTGGGACCCTGCAGCGCTCCACCTCCTTCCGCCAGGGCCCGGAGGAGAGCAGCCGAGGAGATGGAACCGGTACCCGGGGCCCCTTGGGGGTGGATGAGTGGCAGGCTCACCCCGGCTTGCAGCTGTCTCGGGGGGCAGGAAGACTGCAGGAGCGAGGGGTGCTTCTGTCAGAGGGAGAAGCCTGGCCCCAGCACCATGCTGGCTGGGCCCTGGGTAGGACGGGCGCATTCCCAGCCTGGGGGTCCTAGAGCTGGTTCCCTTCCCCCGCAGGCCCGAAGCTGAGCGCACTGGAGTGCTTGGAGGGCATGGCGTCCGGCCTCTACAGTGAACTCTTCACCCTCCTCGTCTCCCTGGTGAACAGGTCTGTGCCAGGCAAGGCCCAGGGGCCGCTGCACCCTGCCTCAGCAGAGGAGGGGTTGGTGCCTGTGTGCTGGGGCCTTGGCCGGGAGCAGAGGTTCCCCCCAACTGCCCGCCGCAGCAGAGGGCTGGCTATCCTCGTGGTCTGGGGAGCCAGGCGCCCGGCCAGGGTTGGGCTCTGGCTCAGGGTGCAGTGGGGCCAGCTGTGACCCCGGCTGCCTCTGTGAAGGGCCCTCAAGTCCAGCCAGCACTCGCTGTGCTCCGTGATGATCGTGGACACGCCGGGATTCCAGAACCCGGAGCAGGGTGGGTCGGCCCGGGGAGCCTGCTTCGAGGAGCTGTGTCACAACTACGCCCAGGACCGGCTGCAGAAGCTCTTCCATGAGCGCACCTTCGTGCAGGAGCTGGAGAGATACAAGGAGGTAGCTTTCGCCCGGAGCGCCCACCGGGCCCCTCTGGCTGTGGCCCCCCAGGGAGGCCCATGTGGGTGTGGAGAGGGCCCCGCCTCACCTGCCGCTTGCCTCCCAGTCCCTGCGCCCTCTTCCTTCCTGTCCTGTGCTCTCTGGAGTGGGGGTCATGTTGCCCCTTGGGCCTGACCTTTGGCCTTGGCCACCCTCCTCCCTTGTGGGGTAGTTGCTCTCCAGGAGCCCCTCGTCACCCCCAACCCCCACCCCGGGCTCGGTGCATTGCCACAGTGCCGTTCCTGCCCCAAGTGTGTGCGAGCCACTGCTCCCGCCTCCCTTCCTGCTGCTGGCTGCTTGTTTAGGGCCCCTCTGTAAGAGGGTGTCCCGGCTGGGAGGAGCCCTGGGGTGCCGCCTCCTGAGGGAGGTGGGTTGGGTTGAGGGCCGAGGACAAGGACATCCAGGAGGCACGGCTGTCATCTGTGTCCAGGGATGACTGTGTGGGGCCGGGCAGGTGCGGGCGGGCTCTCCCTGCCTCTCTGACCGTCTGATGAGAGTGACAGGGGAGCGGGCCGGCAGCCTGGTCTGTGCAGAGCTCGAGAGCTGTGGAACGCGCGTGTCGCCTCGGGGGCAGGGCACCGTTTGAGTTTGGGGTGCTGAAGCACAGCTCTGCGCCGACCCCAGGAACCCTCCGGCCTGCTGCAGGGCTGCACCGGTACCACGGCCCCAGGCTCGGCACCGCTCTGCCTTCCTTCCTAGGAGAACATCGAGGTGGCGTTTGACGACTTGGAGCCCACCACCGATGACTCAGTGGCCGTCGTGGACCAGGCATCCCATCAGTCCCTGGTAGGCGGGGTCTGAGCTCCCCTTGTCCTTGTGCCCACTGCTCTGCCTCCCTCACTGTCCAAGCTGCTGCCGAGCCGCTGTGAGCCGAGGGAGGGCCTGGCAGCCACGCCCTGCCACCAAGCACTCTATGGCGCTCACATCTGGCTGGGAAGGTGGCACTTTCTTCTGCCCAGTGCAGTGGATGCCACAGCCGGGCTGGAAGGCATCCCTCCTTACCCCTCTCCTGTGCCTGGCCGAGCCTCCAGGGTCCCGAGGACATAGTCACACACTCCCTGTGTGCCAGAGCCAGGCCGATGCAGCCTGGCAGAGCCGGGCCAGCAGGCAGCACATCCAACAGGGAGACAGCTGCCCGCCTGTCAGGCAGCCTTCGAGGGGTTGCATGAATGTGAGCCCACGCCTCTCCCCAGAGGGCCAGCTCTGTCACCTGCTGTATGAGCATCATGGTGCCTGGGGACACCCGGGGGCGGTCCTTCAGTGGGGACCGTGCGCAGGTGCTGTGTGTGAGAACCAGCTGCTCTCCTCCCTCCTGCTCTTCCCTGCATACGGACCTGCCTGGCTGGCAGGAGTGGCAGGGCCCTGGGGACAGTGCACGTCCCTCTGGGGACAAATGCTTACCGTGTGCAAGTAGCACATCTCCCCAGGGAGGCTGGGGCTGCTTTTCCCAGCACCTGGGCCCCTGTGGTGGCCTCCCTTGAGAGCCTTTGCCACTCCCAGGAGATGGGGGATGTCGCCAGGGGGCCGGCTGGTGTGTTTGAACGGGGCTCGGTCACTCCTCCCCTATGTGGGCCTCCCTTGTTTGGTGGGCCCTGGACTCGGGCAGGTGCACCTCTGGAGAAGGGGACTGCCATGAGCCTGCCACGTCCCTTCTGACAGCTTCGTCACTCGGCCCTGGTAACCGTGGCGACTCCCCTGGGAGCGAGGATGTGGGCAGCTGGGGTCAAAGAGAAGGACGCTTGCTCTTTCCTCACTCGCTCTTCCTCCTGTCTGTAGAGGCCAGGCCAGATGGGGGGTGGGGAGGGGAGGCTGTGTTGTGCCGTAGCAGGTAAATTTGCTGCCTGCAATGCCAGCATCCCATATGGGCGCTGGCTCATGTCCTGGCTGCTCCTCTTCCAATCCAGCTCCCTGCTGATGGCCTGGGAAAAGCAGTGGAAAGTGGCACAAGTCTTTGGGTCCCTGCACCCCCATGGGAGACCTGGATGGATTTCCTGGCTCTTCAGCTGTTGTGACCCTCTAGGGAGTAAACCAGTGGATGGAAGATCTCTCTGTCTTTCGCACTCGCTCTCTAACTCTGACTTCCAAATAAATAAATAAAATCTTTAAAAACAAACAAAAAAGAATAGGTCAAGGGGAGGTTCAGTCCTTGCTGCCCGAGGTGCCATGGGGCAGGTGCAGCCCTAGGCCTGGTTTGCTTGGCCTCCGTTGGGTATTAGAAATCAGAGTCCAAGATTTCCGCCTTCTCTTGGAAACTTGGGGCTTAGCAGCATGGACGATGCTTTCCAAGGACAGCGCTGGTGGCTGCCGAGTGGTGCTTGTTCCTCTGGGGGAGGGCACTCGCCTCCCAGCTTGCCCTGGGCTCAGCCGTCTTGGCTTCCGCACCCACGCAGTCACCTGTCTTCTGCTTTGGGTCCCTGAGCTCATGCCCTGCAGAGTCCCCACCTACAGTGACCCAGCAGCTCCTGGGCTCCTGCACAGGGGTCGGCATCAGCCGTACTGAGAGCTTCCGTGGTGCCAGGCACCTGCTCGGGGCTTGGCAGGCTTTATCCCGTTTCTGTAAAGTTTATTTTTATTTATTTGAAAGGTGGAGTGACACACACATACATGAGAGAGAGGGAGAGAGAGAGAGCCTCCATCTGCTGGTTCACTCCTCCAATGGCCACAGCAGCCAGGGCTGGGCCAGGAGGAAAAGCAGGATGCTGGAACTCCATCTGGATGTCCCGTGTGCACGGCAGGGACCTGAGTGATTGATTTAGCACCTGCTGCCTCCCAGGGTGCAGGTTAGCAGGGAGCTGGCTCAGACGTGGGTCCCAAGACTCTCTCTCAGGCTCTCCCATGTAGGATGCAGGCTTCCCAAGCAGCAGCTTAACCCCTGCCCTGTCCCGTTTACTCTGCCGGGGAGGGCAGGCAGTATGGGCTCACCTAAGCCCTGGGTGACCTGCAAGGGCGGGAGGATGGAAGAGAAGCTCCAGACGTGGGCTTGGATGCAAGAAGTCTTCGTTCTCTGGTGGCCTTGGAGCCGAGTCGCAGGAGGCCTGCGTGGCGGTGGGCCTCTGCGCTCTGAGCTCCTTCCAGGCCTCCCCCACCAGGTGTCAGCAGGGGGCAAGTGGCGGGAGCTCAGGCCTGTGTATGAGCCTGGGGACAGCGCACAGGCCTGGGTGATGAGCTGGGGTGTCCTACCTTCTCCGCAGGTGCGCTCGCTGGCCCGCACGGACGAGGCAAGGGGCCTGCTGTGGCTGTTGGAAGAGGAGGCGCTGGTGCCCGGGGCCACAGAGGACGCCCTCCTGGAGCGCCTCTTCTCCTATTACGGCCCCCAGGAAGGCGACAAAAAAGGTAGGGGGCAGCGGTGCAGGGGGCGCCTCTGCTTCCTCTCCAGACACGGCTGAGACCTCCCCACGCCCCCCCGGCTTGGACTCTGTGCCCTGCCCGTCAGTACCTCGCTTCTCCCGCCCACAGGCCAGAGCCCCCTCCTGCGCAGCAGCAAGCCTCACCATTTCCTCCTGGGCCACAGCCATGGCACCAACTGGGTGGAGTACAATGTGGCTGGCTGGCTGGGCTACACCAAGCAGAACCCGGCCACCCAGAACGCCCCCCGGCTCCTGCAGGACTCCCAGAAGTAAGAGCTCCGCCCACACCCCAGCCCCACCACAACTGCTTCCGGGGCTCCCTGCTCCCCAGAGGTGTCTCAGAGCCCGAGGGGCCTCCACTTCTAGAACCCAGAGTGAGGCCAGGTGGCCTTGATGGTGCAGGGGTGGCCTCCTGGAGTGGCAGTGGGGGCAGAGGTGGCCAGAGGCACCTAGAGTTTTACGATTGGATAACACCCCACTTTTTTCAGGGAAGGTGGCAGCGGTCTTAGAAACCCCTGGGTCCCGGCTGGTGCTGCAGCTCGATAGGCTAATCCTCCGCCTTGCGGCGCCGGCACACCGGGTTCTAGTCCCGGTCAGGGCGCTGGATTCTGTCCCGGTTGCCCCTCTTCCAGGCCAGCTCTCTGTTATGGCCCGGGAGTGCAGTGGAGGATGGCCCAAGTCTTTGGGCCCTGCACCCACATGGGAGACCAGGGGAAGCACCTGGCTCCTGCCATTGGATCAGCGCGGTGCGCCGGCCACAGGGCGGCAGCCATTGGAGAGTGAACCAACGGCAAAGGGAGACCTTTCTGTCTGTCTCTCTCACTGTCCACTCTGCCTGTAAAAAAAAAAAAAGAAAGAAAGAAAAGAAACCCCTGGGTCCCATAAGCCGTCATTCATTCATTCATTCACTCATTTATTTCGTAGACGGTGGGGACCTCTAGGGCTTTGGCTGTCAGCAGTGAACAAAGCAAAAACCTCTGTCCTTGTGCAGGCTCATGGCCTGGTAGGGGAGGCAGCTGGTGATGTCCTAAGTAAATGACGCCATGCGCTCTCCTGCCGCGTGGGAAACAGTCCCTCAGCCCCCTGCCCTCCCCAGAAGGGAGAAGAGGCAGCTGTCTTCTGCCGGAGCCCCGCCCACCCCTGGCTTCTGCCCGTCTACACTCCTCTCTTCCTGCCGAGCGTTCCCTCTGTGGCAGGCCCGGCAGCACGAACCCGGTCACCCAGGCCCCTGGCCTCGGCCGTAGGGGCGTTGCTTGGTGTCCCAGGGGCTGGGAGGAGGCACTGCCTCTCCTGCCCCTTGAATGGGACATTTGCCCCCCACACCCTCCCACCTCTGGCAGAAAGGTCATCAGCAGCCTGTTCCTGGGCCGCGTGGGTGGCACCACAGTGCTGTCCGGCTCCATCGCGGGGCTGGAGGGCGGCTCCCAGCTGGCACTGCGCCGGGCCACCAGCGTCCGCAAGACCTTTACCACGGGCATGGCCGCTGTCAAGAAGAAGTCCCTGTGTATCCAGATCAAGCTGCAGGTGGTGAGTGGGCTGGCCCCGGCCCTTGTGACCCCCCACCCCAACCCGGCCAGGCCGACAGGCAGGCCCGGGAGCTGTGGGCACAGCGCCCACTGTGACTCCGTGCTTCAGCCCAGCAGGGGTGTCCAGCTTGCGTGTTCTGTCCGGCGCAGGACACCTGCTGTGCTGTGAGGAGGGGAGGTGCCCCGGCCTCCCCGTTGCCCTGACAGCTCCCCCTCCTCTCCGGCAGGATGCCCTCATCGACACCATCAAGAAGTCCAAGATGCATTTCGTGCACTGCTTCCTGCCCGTGGCCGAGGGCTGGGCCGGGGAGCCCCGCTCCGCCTCTTCCCGCCGCGTCAGCAGCAGCAGTGAGCTGGACCTGCCCTCGGGAGACCCCTGTGAGGCCGGGCCCCTGCGACTGGACGTGCCCCTGCTGCGGGCCCAGCTCCGCGGCTCCCGCCTGCTGGACGCCATGCGCATGTACCGCCAAGGTGAGGCCGCCCTCCCTCACAACCCTGGCGGGGTGCTGCCCCGTCCTGCCCCGCTCTGCTGTCCACCTCCCCTGGCAGGCCTCTCTTCTCACCGCTCCCAGCCCTTTTCTCTGGTGCTTTCCCTCTATGCCGTGGACTCCCTCTCTTCCCCGACCCCGGCCCTGGCCCGCAGTCCCCGTCATGCGTGAGTGTGGGCAGGTCAGCCGCGCCCGCAGACCCGGTGCCCCTCCAGAGCCACCTGCCCAGGGAGAATGAGCTGCTCAGTTTATCTGACGTTGGAAGGCCATGCAGGCCCACTTCATGGGCCCTTCTGGTCGAGGGGGCCGAGAGGACGTGAGGGTCGGAACCGTCCTGCAGGCCTTCGTCTGCGGCCAACACGGCTGATTCTAAACCCTCCTGCTCCATAGTTCCTTTCCTCCTCACTGCCTCGTGAGGAGCCTAAGGCCCAGAGCAGTTAAGTAGCTTTCTCAGGGTTGCACAGCTCAGCTCATGAGTGGCATTGCTGGGTTCGGCTGCAGAATCTGGCCCCTCCAGTGAGGCTTTGTTGGGAGTGGGTTTGCTGGGTGTCTCCTCCTTTGTCCTCAGCTGGAGGAGCAGGCAGGGTCCCCCACCCCCACCCCTCAGCCTGATTCCCCGGGGCCATCCCCACCAGCACGGTCCCTCTTCCTCAGCAGCCGAAGCCAGGAAGCGAGTTCCCTGTCCTGCTCTAAATAAATCATCGATCTGTCCCCACGTCTGGATATGGAGTTGGTGTTTATTATTTCAAAACCAGGCTGTTACCGCTCTGAACCAAAATCAATGTGCTTTACTCAAACAAGCAGATCGATGAGGCCAGCGGCGGCAGCCCCTCCCCCGGCCCCCGGCCCCTAGCCACCGTCGATAGCGCTGATGATTAATTAAGATGCCAGGCGTCCAGACCCGCTATCCTGGCCCATCAATTTAATTGCAATTCAGATACAATCAATAGCTCACTTTGTCTTGGCCCCTCAGCGGCCCCCGCCTCCTGTTTCAATTATCAGGCACACGCATCAGCCTCATCTCCCAGTTGGAGGGTTTCCCAGAGCCAGGCACACCCCCTTCCCCCACCGGCTCTTAGGAGCCCAGGGTTCGGGGTTCGGTTCTGCCTCCAGCTATGGCCTTTGCGCCCTTGGGCAAACTGGCTGCTCCACCTGTCAGGCCTCCGTTTCTGTGTCTGAAAGATGACCTGGGTCTGGTCTAAGACCCCTTCCTGGTTTGGAATTCGGTGGCTGTAGCCATGAGCCTTCACCATGGGTGGTGGTGAGGTCAGAGTGACCCGGGGTCACCGCCCACTTGCCACCTCTGTGAGTCACCTTCCCCTGACCCCCCCAAGCCCAGTCACTCTTGGGGAACAAGAATCTACACGTGTTTTTGGTTGCCTGGCCCAGGGCTCAGGGTCAAAGTGGGGCAGGGAGGGACGCCCAGTCAGATCCTGCTGCAGGGGACATGCTGAGTGCCCGCCAGGTGAGCCATGCTGGGCCGTCCCTGTGTTTCTCACCTGACCTCCCTGACTGCCATGCAAGATAAATACTTGGGCGCCCATTCAAAGAGGAAGAGACTGAGGCCCAGAGAGGTTGAGTGACCGGCCTGAGGTCATCCCAGGCCCTGAGAGGCAGCCCATGCACTTTTCCTCTTAGCCACTCACAGGCCATTTGCTCATTGAGCCCCCAAGGCCTGTTCTGCCTGGGTTGCATCAGTCACAGAGCTGGGGGGGTTACAACAGTCACAGAGCTAGGGGCTCCGCAGCACCTTAGAGACCACCCAGGGTCCCCAGAGCGTTCCTTCCAGCTGGTCTGCACACCTTGCTGACTCGGAACTGCTTCCTCATGGAGGCGCCTGTTCCCACCCTGAACCTGTCCCGCTGTGGAGCACCCTCATTGTCCCCGGCCCCTCCTCCTCAGTGCTCCTCTGTGGGCCTGCCTCATCCCCACAGTCTTGCCTGCCCACCGTCCAGGGTACCCGTGTGCACGAGCTGCAGGCGGGGCATGCAGGAGCGGGCGGGGCGCCGACTGACCCGGCTCTGGCCGTTCCCCCCAGGTTACCCTGACCACATGGTGTTCTCCGAGTTCCGCCGTCGCTTCGAAGTCCTGGCCCCACACCTGACCAAGAAACATGGACGCAACTACATCGTGGTGGACGAACGGCGGGTAGGCCCCCAGCTGACCCCTGTCCCTCTGCTCAGACCCTTCTGTCAGCTGCCCTTCCACACAGCTGAACTGGCCCCACTCACGCTCCCGGTTTGAGGTGCCCAGCGCCAGGATGGGGCACCAGCGGTGGCCGTGTGGAGACGGACACTGGGCAAGGACCCTAGGACTGGACAGGAGCTCCGGGGCCAAGTTAGGACGAGTGCTTGGGGAGCCCTGTGGACAGCACTAGGCCCCTCAGCCTTGGGCTCCAGGGCAGGGTCGGGTTCCCACAGCAGGAAGCCGTCCTGTCTGGGACGAGCTCTCCTCCTGGCAGGAAGGCTGGTGTGGAAGCCCCCTTGGGGCCAGGAGGAGCTCGAGGCCACCAGGCTGTGGACGGGGTATCTTGTGCATCCTTTGCTGTCGCCTTGTCCCCAGAATCAGCTCCTCGTGCAGCCAGAGGGCTCCTTGAGCAGGGCCCCTGCTTCCCTGTGCTCTGCACCCGGCACTGCCAGGGGCTCCCCCACACAGGTGGCCAGGAAGCCCCACAGCCAGGCCCAGCCGTTCTCCAAGTGCCCCCGAGGCCCCGGCCCACACCACCATGGCAGGTCTGTCACTGGTGGTATGGGGACCGACGACCCATCTTGCACCCGCTTCTCTCCAGCCTCCGGCTCATGGCTGCGCTGGGCACCTTGCCTCCGAGGTCCCTGATGGCAGCGTGGCCATCCCTGACCACAGCCTCGTGCCCGCCTGCTTGTGGAGTCCGTGTGGACCTCACGTGTGCTCTATTCTGTCACCTCCCTAAGACCTCGCTTCTTTGCTGCTCAGCTCGACATCCTGGTCCAATCCTCCAGCTGCTCACGCTCTGTGTCTCCCAGAGCAGCCACCCTCTGACCCCGCCCCAAGGACCAGCCTGGGCGTCCCCAGGGCTGTGGGGGAAACCGTGCAGCCTGAATGGCGGCGGGTCCGGAGTCCTCCACGTCCTCCTCCCTTTCCCGCCAGGCTGCCGGCTCCTCACCAGCTACTCCTTCCTCCTCCCTTTCTCCTGAGCCTGCACAGCCCAGCGTCCCTGGGCCTCTTCCCGGCACATGACCTTGCCCCCGGGCTCAGATAAAGCGAGGTTCTCTTTCTGCCTCCCTCACATCTGTCCTCTTGGGAGCAGTGGCCCTTCCTTGGGCCTCCCAGAGCCATTCGTTTGGTCCCAAGAGCTGCTCACAGCCATGACTCGTCCCCTCAGCCTCTCCACCTCTCCTGGTGGTGACGGGTTCTGCAGACCAAGCTTTCTGAAAGGAGAGGGCGGCCTGGACCCGGATGTTCCTCCTGCCACCCTCCCCACCCCCAGCAGCTGCCACGGTGCCGCCGCTAGCGGGTTCTTTGCCGGCCTTCCCCGAAGTCTCGGCTCACATGGCTGTGTGTTCCCTGCTCGGCCTCTGTGCTGGCTTCTCCTCGCCCCGTCCTTGCTCCCTCTGAGCTCTTCTTGTACTTGGACCCGCAGCAAAGCTCCCCCTCTCCAGTGGATCTTGCTGGCCGAATGTTTCCCACTCCGCCCCATCTTCCCGGACAGCCGCGTCCACAGCCCCGCTTCAGTTCCCGCGTGCATGTTCAGGCTCGCGGTCAGCCCAGGCGCGCGTTCCCATCCAGCCAGTGCTGCGCTCTCCTCCCTGGGCGCGGGGTGAACTCAGGCCTGGCAGGTTCAAGCCCCATGCACGCCGCTCCTTCTCTCCACCTCCCTGCCTTGGGGAGTGGTGCCACAGTCCATCGCATCCCTAAGGTAGGGGTCTCCATGCGACCCTGGCTTCCTCCTCCCGTATCAGGTGAGGCGCCCGCTCCTTTGTCATCTCTGGTCAGGCTGCAGCCTCCCTCCCTTACTGCCTAAGGAGTCGCTCCCTGTCTTCCAGCCATTTGCCAGTGGGATTGCAAAATGCCGGTCTGAACACGTCCCTGCCCTAGAGCAAGCAACCTTGAGGGGCTCCCAGAGCACGCAGCCCCCCCGCCCCCAGCAGCCCCTGCCCACCTCTCTAGTTGCACCTGAACCCCTCTCCCCACCCCTGCCTCAGCTAAAGTGAACTGCTCAGCATCTCCTCCGTGCCTTCTGCTCTTTGTGCTTCCAGGCGTCTACTCACACTGGTCCCTGGGCCTGAAAGGCCCTCGGCCCGACTTCATCTAGCACAGTGCTCAGCACAGTCAGCGCCTCCTCCAGGGTGCCTTCCAGGGTCCCCTTGTCTGACTGAAGCACCTCCTCCTCCCCGTCCCTGGCAGGTTCACTTGCTCCCAACAAGAAAGCTCATTTCTCTCATAGTCGTCTCCGTGTTGCCCGAGTCTGTCGGGGCCTGGCACTGCAGAGCTCACCAGCAGGGCTCATGGCAGAGATAACAGATGGTTTGGGTGGAGGGGGAGCACTGAGTGGAGGTGAGGCGCCCTGGTGGGCCCTGACGGAGGTCTCTCCCCACAGGCCGTGGAGGAGCTGCTGGAGTCCTTGGACCTGGAGAAGAGCAGCTGCTGCACGGGCCTGAGCCGGGTGAGTCGCCCCTCAGAGGCAGCCAGGCCTGCCCTCCCTGGCGGGCCCGTCTGAGTCATGGCCCCCAGCTCCACCCCTACCAGTCCCTCAGGGCTGCCTCCTGTAGGCCAGAGGCCAGGGAGGCAGATATTCCGGGGGGCAGCAAATTGGAGCTGCCCACTCTCTGGATAACTGGTTCATTAAGCACTGCAAAAGCCTCTGTGATGTCAGGAAGGGGTGTTTTGGAAGATGGGCTTGAACTTGGCCTGAGTCCTGGTGTAGGAAGTAGGGAAGACAGAAGGGCTAAGCTCAGAGGAGGTGGGCAAGAAGGAGCAGGGAGGCCATGGGCACGGTGCTGCGGAGGGCAGAGCACCCTTGGGAGCCGCCTATAGCTGCCAGGGTCCCAGAGGAGCAGGCAGGACGTGGTGAGGCTGTGCTGCCACTACCTGCCCACGAGCCAGACTCCTCATCGGAATGGAACGTGGTGCTGGAGAGGCAGGCCCGCCCATCCCTGGTGTCAGTCTACTGCATCGCTGCCACCCGGGGCCAGCGGAGCTGTCTGCCCACAGGCGGGGACCCTGCGTGGCCCCCCACCCCCACCCCGAGGCTGGGACGTCTGCGTATGTGCTCTGAGGGCTGGGGTGGAAGAGGGGGAGGCCAGTGGGGAGCCAGGGAGAGGGGTCTGGACCTGGCTACCTGGTAGCAGAGGGAAGGAACTGCGTGAAGGCTCCATGGGGAGTGTGAGGTGGCAGCAGGATCTTGCGAGACAGGCTTGCACGTTACAAAGTCCTCTGCTCTCTACCCTCTCTCTGCTGCATTTGGAGTCCCTGGGTTCTCCCGCTGTGCCTCTCTGTGTGCCTGCCTCCTTTCTGTCTGCCCTGGCCCTCTAAGCTCAGAGGTCTGCTGGCTGGGCTTCCTTGCTGGGACCATCTGCAGTCAAGGGTTTGTTCAGCTGTCCGGCCTCTCCAGGCTTGGCTCACTCAACTCTCCCACCTGGCTGCTGCCAGCTGACACCGGGGGTGGCCTCTCCTCCAAGCCAGGGCCCGGGTTCTCAGGCACCAGTTAGGCAGGAGGAGGCCTGTCCGGGCTGGTCCTCTCCCCAGCTGCCATCCCAGCCCTTCTGTGTCCTGATCATACAAGAATCAGGGCCCACTGGCGCTCAGGGTGCAGAGTTGGATGCTTGCTGCTGACATCCGGTCTGGGAAAGAAAGCCTGTGTCTTGTTGGTTGGCACTGGCTGGGGAGCGGGGAGCCCCCGTGTGTCTGTCACCTTGTTTCAGAGGAGGGAGGGGGTCTTCATCGGCGCCCACGGGGTCTTGAGGGCTCGGGCAAGGTCTCTGGGGCACTGGGGGCCCCTGACTTTGTAAACTGTGCCTATTCCTATGGGAGTCGAGCCTGAGTGTGCTCCCGATGAGCAGAAGGGTCCTCAGCCCTGCGGGGGCTCAGGAGGGAGCTGCGGCTCGCTGCTGTAGCCTCAGGACTTCTCTCTTCCCGATGCGTTGCGGGCCCTTCCTTGTCCTCTGCGCTGGCACCTGCCCTTCTCAGGTAGCCCTGTGTGCCCGCCGGGCAGGTTTGCCCGCCTCCAGGGGGCACTTGATGTTCCCTTCCCCCACAGATAGAATCCAGACTCACATATTAAGGAAAGGGGGGATTCAGGTAGGGCCTGAGACCCTGGGAGACCCCACTTAGCCCTGCTGTGGATTTGGGGCAGTCACCGGGCCAGAGGTGTGCCTTTCTCAGCAGATCCCTCTGCCCTGCAGGGGGCCTCGGCAAGCCTTGGCTTCCCCTGGCCATTACACCTTCTCTGCGCCAGGTGGAGTCACTGCCCTCTGCCAGGACACCCGAGTCCTTTGTTTACCTGCCCGCTGCTCCCAGCCCCTCACTCCTCTCCTCCGAGTGGGGAAACCTGACTCAGTGCCATGAGGAAAGGCTGGGCGTGGGGGCGCTCAGCTGCCTCCTCCAGCCCCCAAACCTGTATGACAGGTCCCCCTGCCTGCCAACCCCCGCCCACCTTGCTGGCTTCTTCATGACAGGGTGAAACCCTGGGAGTGTGGGGGTGGGGCGCTCGCACGTGAAAGAGGAGCCCGCCTGACATGAAACTGAGTGCGGGTGGGGGTCAGAATGCAGGAGCCCCCCCCACCCCACGGCTGTGTGCCCCCCTCTTCCTCTGCAGCTACTCCCTGGGTCTTCCTCTCACAGCTACCCGCTCCACCTGATCCCAGGCCTCTGACATCCTGCAGGTGGGGCGGTGGGCGGTGGGCGGGCCTTGGTAGGGTGTGGCACAGGGCAAGGCCGTGTCTGCAGTCCCCGGGGAAGAAGCCATGGCTCTCCGTGCCCCAGGTGTCTCCCTATGCCTTTCCTCTCCTCCCATCTCTTGGAAGTCAGCGTTCACAGCTCGCTCCTCCCCTCCCAAACCTCCCATCCCAGCCTCCCTCTGGCTCAGCCTTCCCAGGGCCTCTTCCTGCTCCTCCCTCCTCTCCTGGACAAGTGGATTTTCAGGCTCTTCCCAACCCAGGGCCACACTCCCCAGCCTGCCAGCCTCCAGGGCCAGCTGCCTGTTCCTGCAGCTCCTGGCTTCCCTCGGCAGGGCTGCCCCGGCCCCGGGCTCTTGTCTTCACCTGCCTGCTTCCACACAGGTGTTCTTCCGGGCGGGCACGTTGGCGAGGCTGGAGGAGCAGCGGGACGAACAGACCAGCAGGCACCTGACCCTGTTCCAGGCGGCCTGCAGGGGCTACCTCGCCCGCCAGCACTTCAAGAAGAGAAAGGTGCCTTGCCTGGGCCTAGCTGGCCTTCACGGGAACACAGGGGGAGGAGGCTGATCCTGGGGCTCTGGGTTATTACCTGGGGAGAAGAGGTTCCCACTCCCGGGGGCTCCATGCTCCAGCCCAGGGCAGGGAACGGGCAGCTCCCAGGTGCTAGTGGTGCGTGGATGGGTGTGCCTAGCACAGGGCCCTGTGGCCTGGTGGGAGGGCTGTGTTGAGGGGGAGGGGAGCAGGGCCCAGGCCAAGGTGGGCTCTGCACCGTAGGCTGCTCCATGAAGATTAAGGAGCTGTGTCAGCGACTCCTTTTCTTATTAGCAAGTCCATAAAACAGCCAGTACTGCCGCCTCTTGTGTTTCAGCAAGATTAGGTTTTATAGCACAGCTAGGCCAGGGTGCTGGAAATAATCAGGCAGCAAATAAAGCAGATGAGATGATCCTAATGACGGTGGGGTGGTGGGTGCCCAGTGCAGTGCTCCCCACCCTGAGAGGCGGGCGGCTGGGGGCTGGCAGGGGCTGGGAGGGGCTCTGGGTTGGGGGCCAGGGTGCCAGGCTGGGCCCGGGGGCACTGAGAGCCCTGCTTTGTGCCACACCCACCCGACTGCAGATCCAGGACCTGGCTATCCGCTGCGTCCAGAAGAACATCAAGAAGAACCGGGGGGTGAAGGACTGGCCCTGGTGGAAGCTCTTCACCACCGTGCGGCCCCTCATCGAAGTGCAGCTGTCAGAGGAGCAGATCCGGAGCAAGGACGTAAGGGCGGCCCCGGGCAGCCAAGTCTGCGAGGACGCGCTGGGGCGAGGGTCTGGTGCCCCCCCCCCACCCAGTGCTGCTCGGTTTCGTGCAGAGAGCTGGCGTTCCTGCACCTTGCCCGTCAAACAGACGTCCCTCTGGGGGCGCTGGCCAAGCCCCTGGGTCATCTCCTAGGAGAAAATCTGGGACATCCTCAGAGTCTGGGGACAGGAACCCTAGGCGGCAGCAGCCCTCCTGTTGGAGACACGCCTCCCCGCTGGAGTCCTGGTCCCTGTCTCCTTAGCTTTGTCACTGTGCAGGGGTGCAGACCCAGAGCCCCAAGCGCCCGCAGTGCCTCTGGCCACTTTGCCTCCTTGCCCCCCCCCCCCCCCCCAGGAGGAGATCCAGCAGCTGCGGGGCAAGCTTGAGAAGGTGGAGAAGGAGCGGAACGAGCTGCGGCTGAACAGCGACCGGCTGGAGACCCGGGTGAGTGGCCGGGCACACCAGGAAGACGGGCCCACCGTTGCAGCCTGGCCCTGGCCCGGCCCGGCCCGGCCCGGCCCGGCCCAGGAGCGCTGCCCACGCGTGTTCTGGCTGAGCAAGGCGGGCGCTGTAGCTGCAGGTGTCTCCTTCCCCCCAACCCCAGATCTCAGAGCTGACATCGGAGCTGACGGATGAGCGTAACACAGGAGAGTCCGCCTCCCAGCTGCTGGACGCCGAGACTGCCGAGAGGCTCCGCGCTGAGAAGGAGATGAAGGAGCTGCAGGTGAGGGCAGGGCCAGGCCGAGGACAGCGGGCTGTGACCGCCACACCCCACTGCCCGTATGCTCCCCCCAGAGACACTCGGCATCTTCACCACTAGCCCGGCCTCCCGGGGGGACTGGAGCCCTGAGCCTGCCTGGGACCTTGTCTGAGTAGTTCTGAGTGAGTGCGAAACGGCCATCTCCTCCCTGCCACCCCGCAGAGCCAGTACGATGCCCTGAAGAAGCAGATGGAGGTGATGGAGATGGAGGTGATGGAGGCCCGGCTCATCCGGGCGGCCGAGCTCAACGGCGAGGTGGACGACGATGACACGGGTGGGTCCGAGGCCCGCGTTGGTGCCCACCCCTGGACCCTCACACCCCTCTAAGATCAGGGTGCAGTGAACAGATGAGAAAGTAGAGGTGCAGGTAAATGCAGGGGATCATCACGACGAGGACACGTGTCAGGGCCAGAGGCCTAGCAGTCACTGGGTAGAAGTCAGCACCCCCTCTAGTCTGCTCCTGGTGGGCGGCCCGTGGCTTCCACCTTGGGAAGAAGCCACCTTCCCAGGGGCCTCCTTCCTGCCCTGCCCTCCTTCCCTTCTGTCCCTTCCTGGGGGCTCTCAGCACCTCTGCCCGCTCTCAACCGTGCAGGTGGCGAGTGGCGGCTGAAGTACGAGCGGGCAGTGCGGGAGGTGGACTTCACCAAGAAGCGGCTGCAGCAGGAGTTTGAGGACAAGCTGGAGGTGGAGCAGCAGAGCAAGAGGCAGCTGGAGAGGCGGGTGAGGCCGCGGGCAGGGCCGGGGCCGTGTGCCAGCCCGATGACTGGCTGGAGGCAGGCAGACCCCAGGAGCAGCGGGGAAGGTTGGCGTGTGAGCCCCTCAGTGCGGGGACAGCTTCTCGGGTTCCCGGGAGGCCCCGGGCTCTATGTCTCCTCCCCAGGAGTCCCCTCCCTCTCCACACCACTGACCATGCACCCTCCCTGGACCCTAGCTCGGGGACCTACAGGCAGACAGTGACGAGAGCCAGCGGGCCCTGCAGCAGCTCAAGAAGAAGTGCCAGCGGCTGACCGGGGAGCTGCAGGACACCAAGCTGCACCTGGAGGGCCAGCAGGTCCGCAACCATGAGCTGGAGAAGAAGCAGAGGAGGTGGGTGGGCCTCCATCCTGGGCCCAAAGAGCAGCCACAGACAGGGCTCCCTCCACCTCCTCCATGGGAGGACCTGAATTTGGCCAGGGGCCTGGCTGGCACGGTCACACAGGTCCTGGCAGGTGACCAAGGGTTCACTCCCAACTTCCAGGGGAGACACAGACCAGGTCCCCCTCGAAGGCCTGTGCAGGCCTCCACTCTGACATGCTCCCCCCGTATGTGCCCGTCACTGCCTCCGGCCCTGCCCCGTGCCCCCACCCAGCTCTGCACTTGCCTCAGCCACACAAACACTCTCCCGACTAATGTCGTTAAACTACCGCGCCACTTCCATCTCATTACGGTAATGACACAAGGAGGGGGGCAGCCTCACAGGAGAAAATCCAATCTAAATTAATTTCCCTGACTGCGGATGGGAATGGGGCGCCTTTATTAGCAACACGGAGGAGCCCACACACCCTGGCAACAGCAGGAGGGCCCCGAGGAGCGGGAGCAGCCCCGTTTCCCCTCCGCAGGGGCGGCTTCTCAGCAGAGGTGCCCTTAGCCTTTGGGAAGGGGCAGCCCTCTACCCGCAGCCCTCCCAGCACTCCGGGTCACCCCTGGCCTCCCGGACGCACTGCCATCTTCCTCACAAGGTGGCCACCTGGGAAGAGGGGAAGCAGGAAGGCACCTGGAGGACTTGCTTCCCTCCTCCTCACCTCACCCCCACCTGCCCTTTTACCCAAAGGCAGACACCCTTTGTGGGACCCCCTTCCCGGCACCCGGGTGCCAGTGCCAGCCCTATTTACCGTGTCGCCGTGCTCCCCGCTGGCAGGTTATTAGCTTTCAGCCACCTGGAGTTTTCTTGCTTTCTTCTGATGTGGGGTGGGGGTGGGGGTAGGGGGTGGTTCGATTTCCATGGGAACCTGATTAACTATTCAGGGAAGGGGTTAGCAGGAACCTCAGCCATTTGCTCCTTATTTGGAGTCACTGGGAGGGAGATGGGAGTGTGGGAATAGAAGAGCAGAGACAGAGGCCCTGAACTATGTGCCTACTGGAGCACACCGCCCGCTGGGGACTGCTGGAGCCAGGCATGGGTGTCCCCTTGGGGACAAGGGTGCTGCTGGGGCAGGGGATCCTGACCAGTGCCTGGAGCCCAGAGGCAGGTGCAGGAGCCAGCAGCTTCGTCTACAGTTGCTGAATCATACTGTGGAGAGTGAGCGGGATGAGGCAGGGCATCCACTTCCACCCATTCTGGTACCCACTCTGCCCTCGCCCTGGCCCCTCTTCTGCTTTGTTGAAACAGAAGATGTAGAGCCTTGAGTCCTGGGGAGAGAGTCTCTGCCTTTTCCAGCCCAGGGCTCCTTTAGTCCATCTTGAGAAAGGGCTCCCTCAATGGCATGCCCCCATCCCAGACGTAGCCTGACCTGTGACCTCTGAACGTCACCCCCGCCTCACCACCAGCCCCGACCCAGGGCTGCACGCACCCCCAGCCCTGCGTGTGTCCTGTCCGCGTCGGTGGCACTGTTTCTGGGTGTCTGACCGAGCCGCCCCGCGCCCCTGCAGGTTTGACAGCGAGCTCTCGCAGGCGCACGACGAGGCCCAGCGGGAGAAGCTGCAGCGGGAGAAGCTGCAGCGGGAGAAGGACATGCTCCTGGCCGAGGCTTTCAGCCTGAAGCAGCAGCTCGAGGTGGGCGGGGCCTTCCTCCACCTGTGCTCTGCGCCCCAGCCCCCCCTCGCTGCCCAGTGCCAACCTGGTCTTCTCATTCGCCCCAGGAAAAAGACATGGACATCGCAGGGTTTACCCAGAAGGTAGTCTCACTAGAGGCTGAGCTCCAGGACATTTCTTCCCAAGAATCCAAGGACGAGGCCTCTCTGGCCAAGGTCAAGAAACAGCTCCGGGACCTGGAGGCCAAGGTCAAGGATCAGGAAGAGGAGCTAGACGAGCAGGCGGGGACCATCCAGATGCTGGAACAGGTGCTGGAGGGCTTGGCCAAGGGAGGGATGAGGTGTCGCCAGAGGTGCCAGCAGCCCCACAGCCAGCCCTGGGTGTGGGCCAGAGGAGGGCAGGATCCCATATCCATTCATCCGCTTGTTCTCTCGCTCACCTACTCAGAAAATGTTGAGTGAGCACCTGATCCGTGCCAGCCACAGTGTGAAGACAATTAAGCTCTCACAGAGCTTTCTGCAAAAACAAATCTTGATCAAGCTCTTGTAGTGAGGGGTGTGGGATGCGTGGCAGCCTGCAAGCCCTGGGCCACCCCACTGGCCCACCACTGAGCCCCCAAGTCAGTTCAGGGAGCTAGAGCCTGCAGGCCAAATGGAAAAGTTGCAGAACAGTGCCCACCTCCAGCAGCCTGCCTCTGGGCCAGTGCCAGACACTTAGTAAAGGGAGTCGAACTTCTCGGCAGAAGCCTGCGGCCAGGGAAGTAAGGGGAGAGCAAAGGGCGTTGGCTGGGTGCACCTGCTCCTGAGACCCAGGAGAGCTCCGAGGCAGGGGAGGGGCAGTGGGCTGCTGGGGAAGGGACCCTGACCCCTCCGCCAACCACTGCAGGCCAAGCTGCGTCTGGAGATGGAGATGGAGCGGATGAGGCAGACCCATTCCAAGGAGATGGAGAGTCGGGACGAGGAGGTGGAGGAGGCCCGGCAGTCGTGCCAGAAGAAGGTGAGGCGTCTGGGCACTTACCTGTCTCACACCAACACCTGCTCCCCCACACTGCTTCAAAGTAAGGGTTTTTAATTTCATTTTAACTTGAGAGATGGGGAGAATGAGAAAGGTAGATAGATGGGGAGGAGAGCTTCCAGCCCCTGGCTCACTCCCCACATGCCTGCAATGCCGGTGGAGGGCTGAAGCCAGGAGCCAGGAACCCATCCAGATCTCTCATGTGGGTGTCAGGAAGCCAATTACTCGAGCCATCACCTCTGCTTCCCAGGGTCTGTAGTAGCAGGAAGTTGGAATCAGGAGCAGGGTCAGGGTCAGGGTCAGGTATCAAACTCAGGCACTCCAGTATGGGACGTGGGTGTCTTAACTCAGCATCTGAACTGCTATGCCAAGTATCCACCTCAGTAAGGGTTTTGTTTGTTTGTTTTAAAAATTTATTTATTTATTTAAAAGAGTTACAGGCAGAGAGAGAGAGACCTTTCATCCAATGCTTCACACCTGGATGGCCACAATGGCCAGGGCTGGGCCAGTAGCCAGTAGCACAAGCACTTGGGCCATCTTCCACTGCTTTTCCCAGGTCACCAGCAGGGAGCTGGATTGAAATTGGAGCACCCAAGTCTCTAACTGGCACCCATATGGGATGCTGGCATTGCAGGCGGTGTCTTTACATGCTACGCCACAGCGCTGGGCCGGCCGTAAAGGATTTGGTTTTCCTACCTTAGCCATGTGGTCTCCCATTGCCATGCTGGACCAAGAATGTCGGGATGCTGGCATTGGCATTGGCAGAGTCTAGAGAAGCTTGGGCCCCTGAGGAACAAGAGCCGCCAGCTTTCTATGGCAGGCAGCAGCAGCACCCCTGTGCTAGCAGTCCCACAGGGGATGGAGCCTACCCTGGCTCAGGGGGCCACTATGAGTGGCTGGGTACTCTGGACCCCTGGGAACTGGAATTCGGGTTCTGACCTCTCTGGGGTCGTCGATGCTAAGCCCTGCTCCACTGAGGGACCCAGAGGGAAGGGGACTGCATGGCACCCGACGGATGGGTCTCTGTGTCCTCGGTACCCCAGTTAAAGCAGATGGAGGTGCAGCTGGAAGAAGAATACGAGGATAAGCAGAAGGTGTTGCGGGACAAGCGGGAGCTGGAGAGCAAGCTCACTGCACTCAGCGACCAGGTAGATACCTGTGGGCGGGGGGCTGGGGGCTGGGGGCTGGGGTGGGAAGCTGAACACAGGGGCAGGGGTGCTCTGCAGCACTCATTGTCGTAACTGGGGGTGGGGCAGTCCCTGTCCACTGCCACATGCAGGCCATTCTCCTTGGCTGGCCTGATCCTGGCACTTCCCTGTGCCGTTGCTCATTATGGGGACTCCTGAGAGTGAGGCTGAGGTGAGGGGTGGGCTTGGGGCAGACGGGAGGGCGTCCTCACTGCTGGTGCCCACCCAGGTGAGCCGGCGAGACTTGGAGTCGGAGAAGCGGCTTCGGAAAGACCTGAAGCGCACCAAGGCGCTACTGGCGGACGCGCAGGTCATGCTGGACCACCTGAAGAACAGCGCGCCCAGCAAGCGGGAGATCGCCCAGCTCAAGAACCAGGTGCCCTGCCGAGGGGAGGCCGCTCACCCAGGGGCGGCAGGCCTCACTTTCACAGTTCTCTTTCTCTCCCCCTTGCTCCTCTTGGTAGCTTTTGAAGGAGGGTGATGGGGAGGTGGGGAGAAGCCACTTGTAGCAGGCAGATTCCCGAGAGTCTGTACATGCTGTTCTGGGTGGCGGGGGTGGGGCCCGGTCCCCATCATGGGAGGAGATGCCCATGCATGATCACAGCACGGCCGCGGCCCTGTGGTCTGAAAGTCTGGAGGGGGACGGGGAGGAGAGCCACTGGGCTCCCTCTGACCTTCCAGCAGCCTGCCAAGCCTGCTGCCCCCAGGGAATGGCTGACGTCTCTCCCTGGGGTGGGGGTGGCCCTGGTTCCAGCTGGAGGAGTCAGAGTTCACCTGTGCGGCAGCTGTCAAAGCACGGAAAGCAATGGAGGTGGAGATTGAGGACCTGCACCTGCAGATCGATGACATCGCCAAAACCAAGACTGCGGTGAGCATGCAGGGTGCACGGGGCTGGGCCCTGGGGACTGAGCAGGAGAAGAGCCGTGATGGCGATGCCTGATACCCCCCAACAGGTCCCTTCACACCAGGGCTGTCTGCCAGGAGAGCAGGCCTCCCATCCCTGCCCCCCAACTCAGAGCACAGGCCTTGTCGAGGGGCGGGTGGAAGAGGGAGCCAGCCAGGACCCATCTCCCTGCTTAACCACCTGCCTGTGGGAGCTTGGCTGCAGGCCCCGACACCATAAATAAAAGCAGCTAATGTGGCTGAGGGATGTAAACAGGTGCCTGGAGATTAGCAGAAGCACCGATAAGAGGATGGGATGGCTCGGCTGCCCTCCCCTTCCCCTGCCCGGCCCACTGACAAGCCCAGGCGGCAGCTAATTAGAGCTCTTATTTAATGCCTCCCTTTTAATTTCCCACCTCTCCCACGGCCCATCCACCGGCAGAGGATCCACCACCGGGGATGCGGCCCCCGGTACCTCCTCGGGCAGGGCGCCGGGCAGGGGAGGGGGCGGGGCTGGGCGGCCTGCTTTGAGGGCCCTGGCCCCGGGCACCCAGCTGCTGAGAGATGTCAGTCTCAGGGGCTTAGCTTGTGCCCGTGACACTCGTGCTCCTCAGCAGTTTCAGGTGAGTAATTCAAATTCCTTAATTGTGTTAAAAAAGGCTGTTATAAAATTACCATTTTATTTAAATCCGAGTTAATAAATTTCTTGGCAGAGGCTTCCCCAGTTCCCCACAGCCCAGTAACAAGATGGATGGGGCCGAGAAGGAGCCAACGCAGTCATTTTGGTTTGGAATTACAGGCTAATAGATTCATTCATTTCCTGAAGCTGCTGTTGGCTGTCTCGTCCCCTCCCCCACCAGGAGTGGACTGGCTTCTGGGGGCCAGGAGGGGAGTGGGCAGTCCCAGGGGACAGAGAATTCGAGCCAGGGAGCTTCCCAGACTCCAGGGGCCCTTCTACGTACGGGGCCTGACGCGGCCAGAGTGCGTGCAGGTCGGGGCCTGGGCTGGCAGTGCCGGGATGATGGGTCATTTGTTCTGGGCAGGCTTTTTCTGCCTTCTCATTAGCTTCCAAAGAGCTGCCAGAAAGCGGCTGTCATTTAGCCCAGAAGCCCGGGGTCTGCCTGTGCTGCAGAGCCAGCCCCTCCCCTCATCGCCTGGCCCAGGGCACAACAGCAGCAGCTCTCTGAGCACCCTGGGTCCTGGAAGCCGCTCCAGGGGTGGGCCTGACGCCCTCCCCCCCCAGCCCCTCCCCTACCTGTTGGAGTGGCATGGGAGGCGGCCCTGACTGGCCACCTGGAGCCTCTGGGCAGGCACGCCGGGCCCGATGCCCTCTGATCTGTCTGCCTCTGTCCAGCTGGAGGAGCAGCTGAGCCGGCTTCAGCGTGAGAAGAATGAGATCCAGAACCGGCTGGAAGAGGATCAGGAGGACATGAATGAGCTGATGAAGAAGCACAAGGCGGCCGTGGCTCAGGTACCCGAGCCGCGATGGCCGTCCTGCCGGCCCCCCCACCCACTTCCCTCCCCCGGTTCCCCCGTGCAGCCGTTTCTCTGGGGAGACTGCAGCGTGTGAACCTATCTGGGGATTGGACCGGTGTTTAGAGGACCCTGCACCCCATGCTGTCACCCCTTCCCCAGGCCTCCCGGGACCTGGCTCAGATGAATGACCTCCAAGCCCAGCTAGAAGAGGCCAACAAGGAGAAGCAGGAGCTTCAGGAGAAGGTGGGTGCTGGGGGCTCTCTCGCTGGAGAGAGGGTGAGGGGCCACACCAGTGGGGACAGCCCCAGGCTCACGGTACTGAGAGCGCTCCTCTCTGCCGTGGGCAGCCCACAGGGCAGCGTAAACTGGCGGAAGGAGCTGGGCGTGGAGCCACGTCACCACAGCAGACATTTTGGCTTTGCTGCCTCATTTCACACGTCTGCTCCCTCTCTGGGCCTTAGCCCTCTCCTTTCTCTCAGAAGGCAAGATCTGTGCCAAGCACTGGGGCCAGTGGGGGACGCCTCTGACCCAGAGCGGCCTCCCTCCGCTCTCGCCATGTGTCCCTCCCTGCCCTGGCCTCCTGGTCACCATGGTGACGTCGCCTGCCCCGATTCCGCCTCCTCCCTTCCTGGGCTCAGTTATCCCTTCCCATCCTGCCCCCTCCTCCCCAGCTGCAAGCGCTCCAGAGTCAGGTAGAGTTCCTGGAGCAATCCATGGTGGACAAGTCCCTGGTGAGCAGGCAGGAAGCGAAGATCCGGGAACTGGAGACTCGCCTGGAGTTCGAAAGGACGCAAGTGAAGCGGCTGGAGGTGGGTCCGCGGCCGCAGGGAGCGGGAGCAGAGCCGCCCCCACTGCTGGAGCGATGCAGGCTGGCTCCGTGGGGCTGGGCAGGCCCTGGGCACTCCTCCGAGGCCCTTGCCAAAGCCGCGGGGCCGGCTGCCGGGGAGGGGGCCTCTCTGGGCGCCACGGAGCCTGCCTGCTTTGTATTCCGGTTCCGTGCTTGCTTTCTGCCGAGGGACCAGAGCAGCTTAGCTTTTCGTCTTCATATTTTCCTGCACACGCGCTCCCCCCTGCCTGTCCCCCTGCTCCCTGGCAGGGTCATAAATATGCAGCGGGCGGCAGCGCGTCTGTGAGGGCTGAAGTCTGTGCTCTCATCTCGCCGCTCTCCTCCCCTGCCTGTGATCCCCTTTATTCCTCACTTCTTCCCACCCTTCCTGCCTCTGCCTCTGCCTCTCCTCTGGTTTGCCCTGCCATTGCCCGACGTTTTCTCCCCTCGTCGTATTTTTCCTCTCCCAGCCCGACTCCCCTTTCTGTCCGCCCGGTTCCTCCTCTCCCTCAGCTCTGCTCCTCGGTGCTTTCAGCCCTTTCTCGTCCTCTCTGCCTGGGCCCCTCCCTCCCTGACATGGCAGCGAGCTGGAGCGAGGCAGCCAGGCGGCCACCCGGCCCTCCCCTCCCCCCCACCCCGCCCCGGCCCTGGTTACACCCTCCTGCTCGTGCTTCTGGGGCTCAGGGACGTGGGTCTGGGCTGCGTCAGCCCGGCCTGGGAGCTGTGGTCACAGGGTTGGAGCCGAGCCTCCTGCTGCCTTCCCTGTCAGCGCTTCGGTCTGCAGGGCGGACGTGAGGGTAGGGGTGGGGACAGGAGGAGAGCGGAGTGACAGCCTCCCCAGTCGGGACCCCGTGCTCAGGAGAACTGGAGAGAACTGGAGTTTGGTAGTTCGATTCCTGCCCCACCAGCCCCAGGATGGCTGGTGATATTCTGATCCCCATTTTACATAAAGGGCTGAGTAGACTGAGTGAGGCCCGAGGGATGTCCAGGGGCAAAAGAGACCCCTGGGTTGGGGGCCACAGGGCAGACCTGCTGGACTTCTGTCCGTTGCTCTTGGGCCTCGTCCTTTCCCTCAACGCTGTCCCTTGGGAAGGCATGATCATGATTTAGATTTATCGAGCATTCAATACAAACGGCCCCTAGCAGTCCACACAGCCTGGCTCCGTTATCCTAGGGGTGGGGGTGGGGGGCTGGGGGACAGTTGCTGGTGGGATGAGAGGATCAGAACCAGGCGCAGGCTCCTTCCCTCAAGCCCGCCTGCCCCTGTCTTGCAGCCTCTTCCTGCTCAGTATCCCACTGCAGGGCACAGGCACCGAGCTCAGGTGTGGGGATTGAGAGCCCGCCCCTGCTTGGTCTCCTGGCCCCCCGGCTCTCAGCGAGGCCCTGACCCCTGAGCACAGGAGCCAGCTGTGCTGGAGCCCAGGCTCCCTGACCCAGATTCCTGCCTTAGCCCCTCTCTGCCTGGCTGATGGGCCTGCCTGCCCCTTCTGTCGGTCCAGGGCCTGGCCAGCCGGCTCAAGGAGAACATGGAGAAGCTGACTGAGGAGCGGGATCAGCGCATTGCGGCCGAGAACAGGGAGAAGGAGCAGAACAAGCGGCTCCAGCGGCAGCTCCGGGACACCAAGGAGGAGATGGGCGAGCTTGCCAGGAAGGAGGCCGAGGCGAGCCGCAAGAAGCATGAACTGGTAATGCCCGCCCCCACCCCCACCCCCGTGGGGCCCACGCAGGCAGCCCCCTGAGTGGCTGCTGAGTGTCCACCTCCCCGCAGGCTGCTGGGGGGTAGGGCTGCAAAGAAATGAGCATTTAGAGACTGGAGAGGGGAGGAGTGTGACCAGAGGATTGTCCAGGAAGCCCTGAGGGCAGCTGAGGAGCCAGGGGGGACCCCAGAGTCTCCAGCAGGTAGGGCTAGGCCCCCACAGCCCAGCATCGCAGAGCAGAGCGGCTGTGCAGGTTTCAAGCAGTGCCCACCCAGCTCCTCCAGGCAGGGGAGACGTGAGCAGGCTTCTTGTGGGGCGGCAGGGGCAGGCACCGGCACTCGGCACACCGGACTGTCCGCCTCCCTCCTAGGAGATGGACCTGGAAAGCTTGGAGGCCGCCAACCAGAGCCTGCAGGCCGATCTGAAGCTGGCGTTCAAGCGCATCGGGGACCTGCAGGCTGCCATCGAGGATGAGATGGAGAGTGATGAGAACGAGGACCTCATCAACAGGTGGGGGCAGCCTCTGTGGCGTCTGCAGCCTGCCTCGAGGTCTCTTGACGCCTCTGCAATCGGGCCTCCTGGCAGAAACCCTGTCTCCTCATCACCTCCCACTACCCGCCTACCACCGCCACCAGCCCACCCTCCCCCGGCTGCCAGACCCCCTGAACAGAGACAGATGCTGTCCCTGCGCCTCCCGGACCCCTCCCCACACTTTCCTGAGGACCCAGCTCCCCGCCTCCGCCTATCCGAGATGAGTTATCCTCCCGCTTAGCCGCATTTCCAGTGGCGCCTGCTCTCTCGGGAGAGCAGGATTTAAAGGTGATGGTGCCGTGTTACCATGCCAGAGACCTGCTCTCGTAAAACTCACCCAGTGAATGGTTTAGGAGAGGGAGAGATTTGCAGTCTTTGGCTGCAGATGGAGTCGAGAGGTGGGAAGACCAGCAGAGACGGGGTGGGGTCAGGCCCTGAAGAAGCTCCAGAGACCTTCCCCCATCCCGCAGGCAGGGCCGGGGTGGCCCAGTGAGCCTGCTCGGTGGGGGCAGGGAGCAGCGCTGGCGGGTTCTGAGGACAGCACAGTCACTCCTCCCCCTGCCCGTTCGTGGCCAGCCAGAGCCATCTCTTGCTGAGGGTCCGCCTTGGCCTGCCCATTGACTGTTCCATCTGTCCCTTCCTCCGGCCCCCTTGCCCACCATTTTCTTTCTGTTTCCAGTTTGCAGGACATGGTGACCAAGTATCAGAAAAGAAAGAACAAACTGTGAGGACCGGAGCGCATGCGCTCTCTGCCTCTCCTCGCGGGTGTCTGACCACCCCTAACACTGGGTGCTGTGCGGGGCCCCCGCTGCATGCCACACGCACATGGCCCCACGGCCCACACTCTCCTCCCTTGCTGGTCTCTAACACTAACACTCAGACTGGACCCTGGCCGGGGCAGAGCTACACTTGGGTCGGCAGGACCGGGAAGGGAGCTCGGCCTCATTTGCTTCCCTGAGCCCAGCCCTCTCCACCCTCAGCTGCCTCCCTGGCCCAGGTCTCTGGCAGGGTGGGGGTTGGGGGTCTAGGCTGGCCTTGTGGGCACCCCTGGGCTCCTTTGCAGGGGGCGCCTCCTGAAAGGAGCAGGTGTGCTTTGTCTTCAGAGGTCCACTGTCTTCTCTTGGCACGGGAGGGTGGAAGGAGAGGGCTCAGACGGTCCCTTGTGGGGAAGATGAGCTTTCAGGCAGCTCATCAGCGCTGCTCTGCCGTGGCCATGAAGGGAGCGGGGCCACATGTGTTTACCTGGCTCTCTGGGGACACCTTGGACAGAGGGACCCAGGCATTGCCTTAGTGCTGTCTGTCAGGCGGCAGGAAGCCAGGGAAACCCGCCCCTGTCTTTCCCTTCTCTCTGGGCAGGAGCTGGCCAGCAGGTGCAGAAGCACAGGGCTGCAGGCAGATTGGGCTGCCGGGTTGGTGTTTGGAGCTGGTTTTCTCTCGTGTAGCCTTGGGTGTCCTCCCCCACTCGCTCTCGCCTGGCAGGCCTCCTCCTCTGGTCAGGATGGGCTGGCGGCCGTGCAGAGGACTCCAGGAGAGCTAATGATAAATGTAATAGTGTGTAACAGTGATAGAGGGCCGCTGGAGCCCGCTTGTCACACACAATTAATATCCCCTGCCGTTCTGTCTCCGTTTGTTTGTTCCCCCGCGATTCGGCTCCCAGTTAACTAATAGCACATGAGCCCGGACATAAATTGTATTTGACGCGAGGTTTAATTCCGGCCATTTAAAATTTCAACTGCCCCCTGAGCCTGCCTGCCCCTGGAGTTTGTTTACGGGCCTGATTATTTAAGGAAAAGAACCCAAACATTGTCTAGATGTTTGCTGCTGAAGGCAAGGCGAGACCAGGCAGGCCAGCTTCCCAACCCATTCGCTGCTCTGAGTGCAAGGAGGAAAATTCGTATTCTGGATTCTGGATGCACAACCATCTGTCCCCAGTGGGTCCTGGCCTTGCCATCCGCGGGCAGTGGGAGCTTCGAGGGCTGATAAAATGTGCACTTAAAAGCACATTCTAAACTACTGCTGAGTGCACAGGCGCAGGCGCAGGCGCACACACACACGCCCCAGCCTGCACTCAGGCAGGCGCGTGGGGACGTGCATTGCTAAGCGGGCTCCCGCTGATGGCAGAGAGGTGGCGCGGCTCCTTCTGCAGCAGCTCTGGGCCCCAGCTCCAAGTTATCGAGCCAGTGCGCTAAGGCGGGCAGAAAAATAATGTTTCGATTTACTTAGAGATACAGTTGTTATTGCCATAACCTTAATGAAAGCCGTAAACAGGGCAGTATTAAGGGAGATTTATACAGAAACGCTTTTAACATGTAGACATAGATTTTGCGATGCATACAGCACCTCCTTTCTAAAGGCAATCAATATGGTTATGAACGGCGGTGATAAATTACAGGCTCTGGAGCTAGAGAGGGAGGTTTTTTGCACGGGTGTATAAATCAGGTGGTATTGGCGTTCCATAGGGCCCATGCACTGCAGTAAATCTGCCAGGCTCACACGGGCACACGGCTTGCATTAGTGGTTTCGGGGCTGTCTGGTAAACTCCTGTTTACCCGGGGCATCAGCCGGCCTCGTCTTTGTTGCAGTTCTGTGTGTGACGGAAGCCCATAAAATATGCCTGCTTATCCCCTCTGCTCCCCACCCACGCACACACAAAATCACACGGGTCGGGCCCTCTCACAGTTCCCAAAACAAGGTCTGGTGGTTTTCTCTGTGTGTGTGTGTGTGTGCGCACGCGTGCGGCCGCATGCATGAGCCCATGTGACTATTTATTCAAGAACATAATTCAGGAATGGGGCTGCTCCTGTTGACACAGATGAAAGGAAATTTACATCAAGGAGAAATCCCAGCCTATCCGTGCAGGCGAACTTGGAGAGCAGGCGTTTTGCAGGATTTTAGAAGCATTCACAGTCAGAAGCTGTCTCCAAACCTCACCTGTGTCGTGAGGGGCTCCCTTGACTCCAGCCTCAGAAATCCTGAAAGTGCTAGGGTCAGTGTGGCCAGGAGCAGCACTGGAGAGCAAGGGCTGGAGGCTCACAGATGGAGGCTGCCTGACAGTGGGGGCGACAGGGAGACTTGGAGAGACAGCCCCCATCTGGGACTTCCTGAGCCCACCTGGGTCTCTTGGAGCTGTTGTTAGTCCCTTGGGAAATGCATCCCCCCCCCCCCCCCCCCGTCTTCTTGTGTGCTTAAGGTCCAGGGAGGCTGCAGGGTGGGTCCAGGCTATGGCCTGGGCTTAAACCTGGTGCCTGGGTCGGTGTTGGAATCAGCCAGGGAGACATCCAGGTTCAAGCCAACTTGAAGTCACATGAAGCTGCAGCCCAGCTCTTGATCAAAGGCATGGGAAATGGTAGCCGCCGTAGCCACGGTTTAGGGTGTGGCAGATGAGAAACAGCAGAGTAAGCCTCAAGAAGTCGCTGAAGGGCCCAGGGTGCCCCCTTTTTAACCAAGAACCGTGCTCCTGTAACTGATGAGTGGGCGATCTCCTCTCCTCCCTGGGCTGGTCGTACTGACACCCGGCTGCGCGGCCCTCCCTGCTCCTCAGGTCTTTGTGGTCTCACAGCGTGGCCTGCCGAGTGGGGCAGGCTCCTCGGAATGGTGTGCTCCTCCTAACTGCCCGTTCTCCTCCCCAACTCACGACACGCATGCCACCTGCATCCCGCCCCTGCCCATGGCACCCTGTTCCCCTTCAGCTCTCCCTCCTGCCTGGCTTGCCTACCTTTCTGCTTCTCCTCCTGACAGTGAGGGAGACTCAGATGTGGACTCGGAGCTGGAGGACCGGGTTGACGGGGTCAAGTCCTGGTTGTCGAAAAACAAGGGACAGTCCAAGGCAGCTTCCGATGACGGCAGCTTGAAGAGCTCCAGGTGAGTGCAATGACCTTGAGCTGGGAGGAAAAAGCCATCTCATATCACCAGGAACAGATGAGTGGTGCCTTGGTCCCCAAGGGACAGGCCTCACGCCATCTGCGCCACTTACCTGGAGCTCATCCGGTTCTTAGCCAGGAGCTGCGCCCCCTTATTCTTCCCAGGTAATGCTTCCTTTGAGGCAGGAGGCTTTGGTTGGTATAGGTTTAACTTCATTCTTACTTATCCATTCGGCAAATGTTGGTTGAATTACCCGACGCTTTGGGCCCTTGGAATTGAGTCTGGGGTGAGACAAGAGGGACTCCGGCTCCCATGAACCTGCTCAGGCTTGGCCCTGGCCAGCTCTGGATCTCTGCCATCTTAATAGGAATAGCAGGATAGACACAGTCTGCCCTGATGCCCATTCTAGCCCCAGGGGCACTGCTGTCTCTCTCTGCCCATTGTCTCCTTCCTCCAGTCTTTTCATTGCCGCCCCCCTCCCACCCCATGCTTCCTGTAACTCCCACCCACTGGGAGAACTTGCTCCCTGCTGCCCAGTCATGGCTTTCTGATCGTGCAGACGGCTGCCCCTGCAAGGTGCCCCTTCCCCAACCCCAGCCACTGGCCAGGATGGCAGCCTCCTTGGCCACTCCCCTGCTGTCCCCTACCCAGAGTCCCCCCCTGCTCAGGCTGATTCTGATCCTGCAAAGCACCTTCCCACCCCTTCCGAGACAGCAGGTAGACTGGGTAGAAAAAGTAGCACCCCTCCCCACTTCCCCAGCTCCCTAGAGGCCCCTTCCCCAAGTCCAGCCCCTCACCCCAAGCACCCAGCGGCCCCCTCTAATTGGTTAAATTTATTCGGCCGAACAGCATTTTGTTATTGCAGATAGTGCCGCCTTCCCCGCCCCATTGCCGTTCACCACGGCGTGGCACGAGGCTCCAGGTAGTTGACAATGAAATAAATTGAACTAAACGTTTTAGAGGGGGAAAAGTGATGAAATAGAACAATAGTCTAATTTACATGACATTCTCCATGAAGCTATTTTCACTGACGCAAATTATTTTGCTTCATTTCCTCCAACGCTCTCACCACCACTCTGCCAGGCTGCTGCCGTTTTCTCTTCCCTTCGCCTCCCGCCCCCTGGGTCTTTACTCTCCAGGTTTAACGCTTGCTCCTCTCTCCTCTCTCCTCTCTCTCTCCTGGTTCTCTCCTGCTTGGCCCTCCCTCCCTCAGATTGACCCTTAATGTTCTCCCCAAGGAGGGCAAGGGGGTGGAGGAGAGGCCGGCCTCCGTGTTGAGCTCCTTGAGCTATCGGAAACGGCTCACCCTGAAGGACTCCATCGGGGGCACCGGGGATGAGGACTCGCTCTTCACCACGCTGAGCGAGCGCGCGGCCTCCCCCGAGAGGCCCCCCCGAAGGCCCCGTGCTGGGCCCAGGCAGGAGCCGGCCGCAGCCGGGAAGCCCGGGGAGCCGGACGATGGCGGCTCAGTGTTCTCCGAGGCCAGGAGCCGAGCCGGCCGCGGGCTGGAGAAGCGCTGCGGCTCAGACTTCGACCGGGCCTCAGCCGTCTCTGCGCCCGTGAGCCGGGCCTCCTCAGCCACGCGCCGGGGCTCTGGCGAGGACGGGGCCCGCTCCTCCCTGAGCTTCTCGCTGTCAGGCTCCCCAAGTGCCCGTCGCAGCACCTCCCGCCTCGACAGCCTGCCTGGGACCCTCAGCCCTTCCTTGAGCCGGGTCTCAGGCCTGGGCCGGGACAGCCCTGATTCCCGCCTGTCCCTGGGCCGGAGCTGCCTGGATGACTGGGACGATGGAGCCAGTGTGGCCTTGAGCGAGGCGCAGTCACAGTACAGCCACCCGTCGCTGGCCCGCAGCCTGTCGGTGCCACCGCAGCCGCGCGGCTTGGCCTCAGCCGCCGACGAGCCTCTTGGCGCCAGTGTCCGCCCCATCAGCCGCCACTCCTACCTGGACCCCGACCTGGAAGCTGCCATCAACGAGGTCTTGAGCTACAAACCCGTCCCGTTCCAGCGGAGCAGCCTGGAGCCCGACTCCGAAGATGATGACCGGAAGAGCATCCAGAGTGCCCGGAGCGCCCAGCTGGACCTCCCGGAGCGAGCCGCCAGCATCCGCCGCTCGGCCTCCGCAGCCGACGTGTCTCGGTCCCACGGCGGCCGCAAGAGCCGGAGCAAGCATAGGAGCAGGAGGAGCAGCTCCAGCTCCAGCTCCAGCTCCAGCTCTGAAGACTCGGAGCACAAGCGGCGGAAGAAGGGGCGCTCCCGGAAGAGCAAGAAGAAGTCCAAGTCAAGAAGGAAGAGAGCCAAGACCGAGTCGGAGTCCTCCTCCTCCTCTTCCTCATCCAGCGGCTCCACGGTCTCGAGCCACAGCCGCTCAAGCGTGAAGAAGGGCCCGGGGGCGGAGAGCGAGGAGGCTGGGCAGGCTCAGCGGCAGTCGAGGAAGGCGGAGAAGAAGCGCAAGAAAGAGGTGGACAGCCTGATGATGCGGTACCTGTACCGGCCCGAGAGCGACTAGCGCAGTAGGTGGCACCTGGCGTGGAGTGCGGCATGGTGTGACCCACCGGTGTGCACTAACGCTCCCCGCCCCACCCGCCACCACCTCAGACCCCTCCTGCCTGCCTGGCCTCCGAGAGCCTGCCGGCTACCTCGGGCACCCAGGGTTGGGGGGCAGCTGAACAGGTTTGTCACTCGGAACCCTGATGAGCTGGATCGGCTGACCGCGCTGCAGGTGGTGCTCATAGCTCCCACCCACCCAGTCCTTATGGTGGGCCGGGGACGGCCTAGATCCTAGCCTCGCTTTGGTCACCTAACCTCACAAGCCCACGACGGAGGTCTCGTTAGCCCCTCACTCAGACAAGGAATCCGAGGCGCAGAGAGGTTAAGTCACTTGCTGCGCTCACACAGCTGGGAGTGATGTTGCCAGAATCTGAATGGGGTTTGTTTAACTCCACTACCCTTGCCCTGAGCTGCGTCTCCACGTGGCCCGGTGCAGAGCACGTAAGGGATATGACATGACTGCGTGCCAGGCGGCACCCGTCCAGGCGCTTTTGACTGTGTCCCTGACAGGCTGGCTCCAGGTGCCTCAATGGCCATAAGCTATTGGGGGCCTTCTGCTCAGCTCCCCACCTCCCGCCCTGCAAAGCCACCTTCCTCTCTGGCAAGCCTCAGAGCACAAGGCTCGCAGGCTGCAGCCCACGCGGCACCACACCCCATAGCAGACCCAGGAGACGCTTGCCTCGCTCCCCAGCCCTCCCACCCGCAGCCCACACATGGGCGTCACCTCGGTGCTGCTCATCTCATGAAGTTCTAACGGATAGAAATTAGCACCCGCTGAGTGACAGCCCCCTCCTGGCTCTCCTGCCTCCCCCGGCTGGCTCCCCTCCCTGTCAAGGGGGGAGATCTCATAGTTGGGCCCTTTATGCCCACACCCCCACTGTGAAAGAAAGGCAGAGCCTGACTCACTGGAATCCCGCTGTTGCCAGTTCCCCTGGAAGGTGGTGGCATTTGGATCCCCCTGGTTATGTGAGGCTGTTTGGGCTTGGTACCCTCCCAGGGCGAGCCTGCTGCCCCCCAGGAGGTATGACCCTGGAGTGCAGCCCCCTGGGGCACGGGTTTTTATTTCCCACATGCATGAACTAACACACACCTGTCGCATGCTTGTGCTGTGGGGTGGCTGGACAAGTATTCTGCCTTTGGATGTGTTTCACCACAAGAGACCAAGTGGAAGTGAATGTGACCTGAGCTATTTGGAGACAGGGGATGGAATGGGAGGACGTGGAACTCGAACCCAGAACAGGCTTGTGGCCAACTTGTTCCAACCGCTTGGGCTCAGCACTGCTTTGTCACTGCCCTCCCTGTGACAGATGGTTGCAGGGCACTCCGGAGAAGAGCAGGAAGCATCTCCATTGCACTGGGAGCCAGTCATTGTCATCTCTTTGGTGGGAAAGACAGGAGGCACAATGTTTGTTCTCCCATCTCTGCCTTCCTCTCCCAGCCCTGCTGAGAGCCCCACACCCTGGGGTGCAGGAAGTCAGCTGATGGAACAAGGTGACTGTCTAGGGAGCTTAGAAGGCCAGACCCTCCTGTGCACTCCACCCTCACCTCCAGGGGGAGACACAGGCCTCGCTGGGCCGTCTCACACCCACGAGTGACTGGCAGATTCCAGACCCCAATGCCTTCAGCCCACTGTAACCCTTGAGCCCACAGCAAGAACAAAAAAAGAGAAAGCCCGTTTCTGCCACCATCCACCAGCACAGTTCCTTGCAGTCACCAGGAGACTGCACCTGGACAGCGCCTCCGAGGAAGAGGAGGAGGTGGAGGAGGTGCAGGAGCTGGGCTCCCTGCTGGCAGAGGAGTGCCCCATGAGAACCTAGCCAACCACGGAGGCACAGAGGAGGGGGCTAGGAGGGAGCACCTCGCCAACACATTCACCGGCTTTGCCGTCGCTCTGCTTCCCATCTGGCGAGGGGGACCAGCGAGAATTCGGAACACGAACGCTGCAGCCAAACACTGCATCGGTAGCAGTCGAGGGGAGGGGGGCTGCCACCCTGGGCTCTCCCAGCAGGAATTAGCTTATTTACCAAATTGTTTGTGACAGCGCGGAGCAGGAGACACTGGCTTGTGGGGAGGAAAGCTTTTTAAACAATTCGGTTAAAATGTTCAAATTGCCAGCACCGACTCCTGCCCTGGGGAGGAGGGAGCTGCCTGCTCTTGGCTCTCTGATGGCTGCGGCAGTAGAAGCCACTGAGGAGACTGGCGAGAGAGCACCCCAGGGTGACCTGACGGCTCCACGGAGCAGCCGAGAGGGAGACGTGAGGTTTGCTCTCTCCGGCCGCCCCGGCCACTCCTCTGCGTCTTGCAGGGGACAGCGTAGAAATCCGGCTGTGCATCCAGGCCTTGTAGACCCGCTGTGAGAAGAGGGCGGGCCTTGAGGCAGAGGCTCCAGCAGCCCTGCTCTGTCCTTACAGGCCAGGCGTCCCTCTGCCTAACAGCACACTTCCCACACCGAGTGCCCGGAAGGTCTGCGTAAAAAATGAAAACAAGACCTGCGTCCCGCTAATTTAGAATCAAACAACCCCAAAGCTAAAATAGCCCCACTTTTTCCCCGATGCTGCACAGTCATCACTGAGCTTCGTAATTTTGTCCCAGAGACACCCCAGAGTCCTTAAGTGCCTTTGGCCCGTCAAAGTGAGACTCATTTCTGTTCAGTCTGGTCTGTACGAAATGTGTTTTGTGCTATTCTGAATCTTTTAAAAATGGTAATTCATTCATGAGAAGTGCAATAACTATTAACCAGACTGCCCCATTCCTGAACCACTTTGCATAATTGAACATGTATTCTGTCAGCCTCCCCCCACCCCCCCACCCCACCCCCGGGACGCAGAGAGAGAGAGAGAGAGAGAGAGAGAGAGAGAGACACCTGTCTTAATACTTGGGACTCACCCAGGCCAGCACCAGAATTCAGGTGTAGTCTTGTTTTCTTCCGAAGTCGTCCAGCCTAGCTGGGGAGTGGTACCTTCCAAAGACTTGAAGGACTGAGTCCGGTTCAAGTTCATATCCTGGCTCTGTGACCTTGGGCAAGATCCCTCATCTCTTTGAACCAGCTTCCTTGTAATATTTCACAGGACTGTTGTGAAGAATAAGATGGCATAGCTAGTGCCTAGGCTCATGTCTTACACACAGGACTCCGTGCCACCTCACGGAAACCTTGGAAAAAGCCAAGAATGTGGTTCTTTCTGGCAGAATCCTGTTTCCTTCTCTTGGGGTATGGGGATAAAAACTTTAAAAGGGCCAGGAAACAGAAGGCTCTCCTAAGATTGTTAAGTCAGCATTGTGGGCAGTGGGGCTCCCAGAATCCCTGTGTGCCCAAGGAGCTCTGTAGGATCTGGAGGCAGGTGTGTGCCCTGCTGTCTGTCAGAGTACAGGGCAGGCTGCAGCTGCAGGGACCTGTGCAGAACCAGGGCTGTGTTTTCTGCAGTGATGTTGTGACTACAGTGCACTTGAGCTGGCAGAGACAGTGGAGGTAGCAAGGGGAGGAGGCAGTTAGGAAAAGAAGCGAGGAGGTGAGTGGAACTGGCAGGTGAGGTGCCATCTTCCCTGGTCGGGTGCCATGATCCAGCTCCCTGTGGGGGACAGTGCTTCCCCCACATGGAGGACAGCTGGAGCTTGTGGAACCAGTGGCCAGATGAAGACTCCATGGAGCTCGGTGGTTGTGTCAAGAAAAGGGGCCGTCCCGTTGGGCCCCCTGAGATAGGCCCTGCCAGCCCCTGCTACCTGAGCCACCATTCCTTGTGGTGAGCGGATGACGCCAGGGCCAAGAGCAGAGTCTGAGAAGGGGTTGGGGTCTGGGAGTATTCAAGCAGGAAGACCCCTCCTCCTCAGAAGGAACTGGAACCTCTTTAGGAACATCTGGCCTAAGAGAGCCCCTACGTTAGATCAGTGGGAACCACAGAGACCCTCAGTCTCTAAGTCGGTGTGATCCACGGACCGCCTGCCGCAGACTCTTCAGGCATTGGAAACACAGAATCCCTGAGTTCCACCCGGGAACTGGCGCATCAGAGCGGCCAAGGGGAAGGACTGGGAACCTGAAGCCAGCTCAAGGCTGAGCCCCACAGTTTGCCAGCATCCCTTCCCTGGGAGTTTTTTAAAGCTTTCACCAAACAGCGTGCCCCTTCCTCTTACTGTCTAGGGGGTGTCTTTCTCAGTGAAGCGTGGAGTGGGGAGGGTTTCTCCTGGGCCCTGTGTGGCTCTGGTGGGGGGTCTGGCAGGCTCCAGGGCCTCCCCACAGCCACGGGGTTTGGTGCTGAAGGGGAGGAAGGTTGTTCACTCAAACCCTGTGCCTCCCGCCCTGCAGCCCCACCGGCTACTGGAAGTCCCCCGCCCATGACCGGTCAGATGAGGAACCCGACGCTCTCGACAGCACCTCCAGAGCCCGGTACTCCCACAACTACACGAGTGACAGCGACACAGAGGCCAAGCTCATGGAGACCCACGCGTAACCTGGGAAGCAAGCGGTTCACAGCTCTCCCACTCCACAGCCCCGCAAGTGGCAGGGGGACACGCGGACCCTCTCTGTCAGAGGGACTTTCCAGGCTGTGGGTGTCTAACGACTCCACGCAGAAGAGGTGGGAGAAAGAGGAGTTTCTGAAAAGAGAACTGTTTGCTCCTCCCTGCCTCGAAGATGCCACGCTGTTGGCTTCCACCCTGGGCCGCTGTGCCGGGCAGGTGGTCTGGCGCTGCGTGGAGCTGGCACGCTGGCCTCCTTCTCAGCCCCTGCTCAGGGACGGAGCTCAGTTGCTGGGTCTACAGGGAGGCGTGGGTGAGGGCTTTCTCTTCTCAGTGCCTGCTGTCTTTTTACTTTTTAATTTAAATCCCCAACCTCCCCATCACAGCTGTATCCCTGGGAGTGGGAGGGGGCCGCGGCGGCAGCTGGGGCCCCCGGGAACCACCGGGGAATCTCATCTCCGTCTTTACTCTCGGGAGAGCGGCCTTTTCTCTGTGCAGCTGGAGAAGCTGCTGGGCGGAGCTGGGGACCGGCAGTGAAGAGGCGGCTGGGGAGGCCCCTCAGGTGCTTCTGGTTGGGGCCAAGCGAGCCCCACACAGACCGGTGCAGTGCGCCAGCCCCCACCCCGGCCCCCCTCAGCAGCGTGTGAAGTGCAATGACCTATTTAAGAGAAAACCCATTCCACCTACACGCTTGCTCGGGGCTTAGCCGAGCTCTGCCTCCCTCCCGCGCCGTCCGTCGTCCGTCGGGTCACCTGGGCCCTAAACTCCGCTTGAGAGGGAAAGCCTGGAGCTGAGAGCTGGAGAGGCAGTGCAGAGGCAGGCAGGACGCGAGTCCTCACTCTGTGACCTGAGCCTGCACTGTCTCTCTTCTTCCAGTTTCCCAGCCCCATGCACCTCTGCCCTCCCCTCCAGACCTGGGGGCCCAAGGGCAGTGCCTGGTGCTGCTCCCATCCACCGGCCCCCTCTCTCCTGCAGTCGGTCTGGACTCACTCTCTGGGCTGTGCTCTCTCCCCTGCTTACCTGAGGTATGGAAATAAAGGCCCTTTTCCCTTTGGTGACACCAATCTCCTGCCTGTTCTTCAGGCTCAAGGACCCTCCGATGTACTCCTGGGGTGCGGGGGTGTGGGACTCCCCCGCTCTCTGGCCTGTGCCCTGCAGAGTGCCTTGGCAGCTCATCTAGGGCAGGCAGAGGCAGGCGGTGGGATGAGGGACTGCTCAGAGCTGTGAGCTGCCGTTCAGGTTGACAGACCTTGGCCTCCCCGGCCTGCACCAGACCATGCTGAGGTCTAGCCGACAGCTACATCTTACCACTCACCAAGATTCTGTCTTTAATGTTTTAAAAAGGGAATCAAGCCCTTCTCGTTAGGAAGTTTTTTTTTATAGGCTGAATTTTAGTCATTCCAAAGGTGACTTTTTGATCAGAATTAGGCAGAGCTGTCTCTAGCTCTCAGCTCCCCTTGGTCACAGAGCAACTTAAATAGACCGGGGGTGCTCGTCTTCGCACCCCAGCCCGTGCCTTGGCCCTGGGTGGCAGCTCAGAGGTGGCTCCTGGCGCCTGCGGAAGGGCAAGGAACAAACAACCCCTCGTCTGCTGCCTGCACCAAGGCGTGAGTTGTTAGGTCCCCTGCAGGAGTCCAGGGGTCTCAGCGGGTAACCCCCAGTGATGGCAGCCCCTCCAAAAAAGACAAGAAAGGCACAGAGGTAGAAAGTCAACCCCAACATGAGTGGGAGAGGGTTATGAAAAGGCACCATCTTGAATGAGGGCTGCTCCACTTGCCGCCCCAGGATAGAACAGAGAAGGTAGTAAAAGTGAAGCTTTTTTTTTTTTTTAAACTGCTGGCTCATGTTCTGTTCTGTCACTCACATCTTTTACTTCTGCTTCCAAACATCTCAGTGCACTTTCAGCTTCCCCCAGGTACTAGTGTGACAACCTCCCTGCTCCCTGCTGTTCACCCGCACCGAGGCAGGCCTCTGCATGATGGCAGGGAAAGTCCGACGTCAGCCTCGGCTAGCCTGACCGAGGCCTTTGTCCAAGTCAGAACACGTATTCATTCATTTGCTCAGCAGTGGAGAACTATTTCACAGCTGCCTGCTGGGGTCCAGGCACCGTTCTGGGTCCCAGGGATGGATGACATCAGGCAAACAATGTAGGCACCGCACCTGCCAGTGTGTGCAAGCTTCGGGTGGGCAGAGGGGAATAAATTATAGTGCTTGCCCTCCAGGTGCTTGTGGGGGAGCTGAAGCAGACTCCCGTGGAGTCATTGCATAAGATGCTACAGAACAAAGGAGTTGCTTTGGGCATATTTTGGAGGGAGACATTCTCTTAGGGTGGGAAGAGGGGACTGGGAAGGATTTTTTTTGAGCTGGGGCATGAAAAAAGGGTCATGCCGGCACAGGTAGATATTGCTGGAACAGCCACTCCAGGAAGAAAAGAACTTAAGCAAAGGTCCTGAGGCAGGGAAAGATGGATGGTGGCAGGGCTGTGCCACAGGCCGCCTAGGGAAGGCAGAGGACGTGGCTTTACGTGACCAGTGCGTCAAGCCTCTCCAAGCAAAAGCCTCTTGGCTGGGGCGCTGGGCTGCAGGCTTGGGAGGAGATGATTCATCTTGGCACCAACTCCCCAGAAGAGTCCAGAGGCCTGCAGGGCCACCAACGCCCATCTGCATTTTGGCTGTGCCCTGAGAGTCTGTAAGCTCCTGCCCTCAGCTCTGGTTCTTAAGATGCGTGCGGTTCCCACGAAACAGCACATCTGTCCTGTGCCAGGCTCCAGAGCTGCCTCGCTCGCTCCCCCTCTCTAATCACAGACCCTCAGGATCACTCTGACTTCTGACGGAGAGGCGTGGGTGGGAACTGAGGCCCTGCGGGACTCCGCGCCGTGCCTGGAGAGGACGGCAGTGGGCAGTGACCCCTGAACTGCCTCCTTTTGTCCTTGTGTCCCCTTGGCATACTATCCCAGTTGCCCCGCCCCCATGCCTGGTGGCACAGACACTTAGCGATTTGCTCCTTAATTGTCCCCCAGCTAGGCTGCGCAGATGCTGCTCTTTAATCTCTCCTGATAAATGAATCGCGCCGCTCCTTTAATCATATGTTCATATCCAAGCCAATTTGAATCAATTTGGCAGGGAGCGTGTTGCAAGAGATGCCACGACTGCTGTTTCTCCCCCCCAGGGCCCCGGAGCCAGAGCAACTGCTGTCCTTACCCCTCACCCTCCACAGACAGCCCAGGGGGCCCGGGAAGGTTCAGGATCTCCTACCTGAAATGTGGGGACTTTTCAAAGTCACCTCGTTTATCCCTGTCCTCCAGGCTGGCTGCAGGGGACCCGAGGAAGACAGATCCCCAAAGCCTGCAGAAGTGGAAGGGAGGGGGCTGAGTCCACGGCCTCCGTTGGCCACTGAGCAAAGGGCCCCATTATCATCCCTGAGAGAAAGCGCTGCCTTCAATCTAACCCGAATCTTTTCTGCTCCCCCTTTCATTTCCTCTGAGCCGGTTCTCGGGGAAGCTGGAACACTCCATCACCTTTTATATGCCAACACATTCCAAACCGGTCCACGGTCATTTGTCCTTGCCTGCTACTGGCGGCCACCCCAACTCCTTTCATCTTCCCCTAGGGCCTATTCTCCTCCAAAACCTCCAGCCTGGTGGGCAGTCATTATGTGCTTGGTTCCGTACCAAGTTCAGCTGCCTTAGGGGCTGCTGGCTTTCGCCTCCAGAGTGGTGTGCACTTGCAATAGGGAAAACAAAGCAAAAACCTGCAAAACTGAGTACTGCTTCAGCAGCTGGCACTGCAGCCTCAGTCTCCCCATCTGTAAAACAAAGCTACCGGGGCTGGCGCTGTGGCATAGCAGGTAAAGCCACCGCCTGCAGTGACAGCATCCCAATCCAGCTCTCTGCTATGGCCTGGGAAAGCAGTAGAAGATGGCCCAAGTCCTTGGGCCCCTGCACCCATGTGAGAGACCCGGAAGAAGCTCCTGGCTCTTGGCATCAGATCGGTGCAACTCCGGCCTTTGTGGCCAATTGGGGAGTGAACCAGCAGACAGAAGACCTCTCTCTCTGCCTCTCCTCTCTGTCTGACTTTCAAATAAATCTTAAGAAAAAAAAAAAAAAAAAAAACAAAGCTACTACCTTCTGGCAAGATCCTTTGACTCCTAAATTCAGAACTCCTTACTGCGGACAGTAAGATCTCCCAGCCAAACCCTTTATCAACCCCTGGTGAAGAGCAGGAGAAACCCTCACCCCCACCCCAGGCGGCACCAGTGTAGCTGCAACATCGTGGGACTGGATGAGAAACGTCTTCTCCCAGTGTGTGGTCTGTCTGGAACTGGTTTCTGTCCAGCTGTCTGCCCCTCAGCATCCTCTTTTTTCTTTTTTTAAAAAGATTATTTATTTGAAAAGCAGAGTTAGAGAGAGGCAGAGAGAGAAGTCTTCCATCCGCTGGTTCACTCCCCAAAGGGCCGCAACAGCCAGAGCTGCACTGATCCAAAGCCAGGAGCCAGGAGCTTCCTCCTGGCCTTCTACGTGGCACGGGGGCCCAAGGACTTGGGCCATCTTCCACTGCCTCCCAGGCCATAGCAGAGAGCTGGATCAGAAGTGGAGCAGCCAGGACTCGAACCGGCGCCCATATGGGGATACCAGCACTGCAGGAGGTGGCCTCACCGCCATGCCACAGCGCTAGCCCCTCAGCATCCTCTTTCATTTCCTTTCCTCCTCCTTGTGGGCTCTGCCATGCCAGTCCAGGCAGGTGCTTGCAATTCACTGGGAACCGAGAGATCATTACCATATTCAGATCTCATTTGCATGTCTACGATTTGGCGCTCTCTGGCCCCGCCCCCGTCTGGAGGTCCCTCCCACAATTCTGGGAAGCCACGCCCCTTAAGAGGGCAGTGTTGGCTCTGTCTTAAAACAGCTGACAAGGGCCCAACCCATGGTGTTGCCCTTTTAATGATGGCGGAGGCATGAGGCCCTACCCACTCAGTGAGGCGGAAATACTGCTTCCCGC